ATCAAGTTCCTGGCCAGCTGGGGCTATAGGGAGACCCTGTCTCAAAAACAAAAACTTTTAGTCTTGACTAGAATAATAATGTGATTTTTAAAAGTCCTTGTTAGATACCTGAACACTTCTGAAATGTGCTCTTTGTGTTTCTTGACCTGTAAAAGAGGTGTTTGAATAGCTGCCAATACCCAGTCCAAGGTGATGGGGGCTTGTCTTGCACTTGGCAAGTAACATGGGAGTCTGGTGAATGTTCTGTAGTCTGATTAGTAACCTGGTTGCCAAATGGGGTTGAATGCATGCTTCTTCACAATGTGGGCAGCACCTTATGCTTCTTGTCCTTGGATTAGTAGTTCTCAAAGTCTCCACCCCTAGGAGTCCAGAGACCTTTTCTAGTAGGTTTGCATGAAGACTTTTCTCATAATAATAAAGTCTGATTTGTTCTTATTACTACATCTCTGTGTGTACTGTGCTGCAGGAGTGGTGGAGGGAGCTTCGGGAATCACTGTATGCATCAATATAGTGGCACTGAACATAGAAGTTCTCATGCTCTGCACCACCAAACACTGCCAATAAAAAACAAGTGCCGCCAGGTGTGGAACACACCTTTAATCCCAGCACTCAGGAGGCAGAGGCAGGCGGATCTCTGTGAGTTCAAGGCCAGCCTGGTCTACATAGTGAGTTCCAGGACAGCTGGGGCTACAGGGAGACCCTGTCTTAAAAAGACCAAAAAAAGACAAAAAACAAAAACAAAGTGCCACTTCACTGGAGAATAGCCTTGGAGAAGCTGTAAAATGGGGACTTTCATTCAGTCTTGACCTTTAACTAGTGACACCCAATGAGGAATCCTTCTGAGCACCTGCCCATGGGAGCACCTGCCCATGGGAGCACCTCAGCCACCCTGAGAAGCTCCTGCAATGTGTGGTGAGGTGACCAGCCAGTTCCGTTGCAGAACATGGTTTTTACTCAGAAAGCAGATGTGTTCTTGGCAATTAAAAGGTGAGCCTACTACTTCGAAGAGAACAGGAGATAATATTGATTGCCAATGCTAACATTTTTAGGTTTGAAGCAGAAATGAGAATTTTGGGAACGCAAGGATCCACTACATACAGCAACACTTCTTGTGCTGCTGGCAATAATTTGTTAACATGACAACGTGCCTTTTGGGATACCATGTAGTGGAATGTCAGCATTCTGGAAGTTCTGCCGCAGCAACAGAGCTTGGTTCACTATGACAGTAGCCTCTGGCCTTTGTCACCAGTGCATGAAGCTTTGAGAGCATGGACGGAGAAGAGACATAGAGTGTAAGATGAAGCAGTGGATTTTACAAAAGCTTCATTGCTACAGTTGCAGATTCTCTATAGTACTCGACCTTCAAGACCTCAAGAACCTTAGCCTAAGGCCCAGCATGGTGGCACACATTTGTGATTGCTGAGGCTGGAAGATTGTTGTGAGTTGGGGCCTAGCCTGGACCCTATATAAAACAACCAATGGGGACTGGGAGATAGCTCAGTGGGTAAAGTGCCTTCCATGCCAGTATGAGGACCTGGACTATGATCCCCAGTGTTCATGCAAAAAGTCGGGCTTGGTTGTACATATCTGTGACCCCAACACTGGACAGGCAGAGATAGGTAGCTTCCCATAGCTTTCTGGCCAGCCAGTCTAGGTAATTGGTGAGCACCAGGTTTAGTGAGAGATGCTGTCACAAAAGCTAAGGTGGAGTAGCTGGCAAGATAGCTCAGTGGTTAAACATGTTCACTGACCTGAACCCACACTGTGGAAGGACAAAACAGGTTACTGCAAGTTGTCCTCTGACTTCCACGTGTCATGACACACATGCATTCACATGTGTGTACACGCACAAAATAAGTAAATGTAAAAAATTTAAATATAAATATGGAACACAACAGTTGACCTCTGGACCTCCACATGGGCACATCCTCACACACACATGCACACATAACCATGCATACACACATAGTTCTCTCTCTCATACATACAAATAACCCTACCCAAAAAATAAAAACCTTATGTATGAAGAAACTTAAAATTATTAAACAATTATTTGAAAAGGCTATGACGATATCCCTCCTTATGGTACTCAGGATTTTCATTCACTTAGTGAAATGGAGCTCCAGAGCAGACTGAACACAGAGGGAGATCTGTCTTCTATTAAGCTAGACACAAAAGAAATGCGTGTAACTATAAGCTAACTGAGCCTGAGAGATGGCTCAGTAGGAAAAGGCACTTGCTAACAAGCCCAACAACCCAAGCTCAATCCCAGGGACCCACATAGAAGGAGAGAACTGATTCCCACAAACTTTTCTCTTACCCCACATGCACACTATGGTATGTGCATGTGCACATGTCCACACAATAAAAATGCAATAAAAAAGCTGGAGAGATGGCTCAGTGGTTAAGAGTGCTTGCTGCTCTTCCAGAGGACCCGGGTTTGGTTCTCAGCACCCATATCAGGTGCTTCACAACTGCCTGTAACTCCAGCTCTGGATGATCTGACACACTCTCTTTTGGCATCTACATACATGGTGCATACACACAGATTACATGCACATAAATAAAATCTTTTAAAAAATAAAATAGGGCCTAGAGAGATGGTTCTGCTCTTGCAGAGGACCCGGGTTCAATTCCCAGCACCCACATGGCGGCTACAAACCATCCTTAACTCCAGTTCCAGGGGAATCAGAAGCCCTCTTCTGACCTCCACAGCAATGCACAACATGGGCGCACTCACACACATGCAGGCAACACACTCATACACATAAAAATAATATTTAAAAAATAAAAATAGAAACAATTCTATTTTGTGTGTTTGTGTGGGGGTATGTGTACTTGGGAATGGAGCCAAAAGTAGACATTGGTGTCTTCCTCAGTCACCCTCCACCTTATTTTTTTGAGACAGAATCTCTCACTGAACCTGAAGTTTGCCGATTTGATTAGACTGGCCACCCAGCGAGGCCTCAGCATCCTCTTCTCTTTGCCCTACCAGTGCTGGGATTAGAGGTGTTCACCACTGTGCCTAGCCTTTCCCTTGGTTCTTAGTTTGGAAAAGCAATTATTATAGAGACATGTAATTTATTGACATGGTTTTATCATTTTAAATGAAAATGAATTATTATATTTTTTACACATCAGCTTTTATACCACCTCACGCATTGATATATAAAAGCTGTATGAAGAAAAGCTGTTTGAGGACAAATCTTAAGACCAAAAAGTCTAAAGCAGTTTTGTTTCCGTTTCCCATGCTGACAGGTGGGAACTGACTGTAGAGACAGGTGTAGAAGACTCGTGAATCTCCCAGCTGGTTAGAACTGTGGTCTCCACCTTGATTCCTATTCCAGGCCTTTCTAGAACATTACACTAGCTCTGAGTGTGTAGGCTTGGCTTGGGTCTCATCTCCAACAAAAATAAAATAAATCTAAACAAACAAGCTGACCAAACCAAACAACAGAGACTTCACAACAACCCCTGCCCCAAAATATGAAAAGTGGAAAATGAGAGCACTTATAAAGCCAACAAACTAAGGCAGCGTTGGGCCAGTGCCACCAGCTGCCTCTCTGCTGTTCAAATTGGTGAACAGGAGGCTTGGGGAGGAAATTTTGTTGAAAATGAGAGGCAAATGGTGGGAAAGGGACTGACTGACGATCAATGTACGTTTATTTACTCTCTAAAAGAACACTTGCATTTGTGAATTCAGCAGTGGCCCACTGACTGCAGCCTTCTGAAGGCTGTTGGAACTGATGACCGAGGTGTGGAGCCATGGGAACTGCCTTTAGCATTCTTACTTTTCATTTTATTTCTAAATTGCTGCCCTTTGGAGGCGACTGACTCCTCTGTCTTGTCACTACAGTCAAGTTGTACTGAGGCATCATTTGGAATAATCATAATATCTTCAAATTTAAGATTTGACTGCTCAAGCTTAAAATAAACTTAGTTATCTTTAGAGAAAGGAAAAGTAGGGCTGGCAAGATAGTTCAGCAGGAAAGGTGCTTCCTGCCAAACTTGACCTGAGTTTGAGTCCTGGGATCCATATGGTTGAAGGAGAGAAGCAACCCCCACAAGCTGTCCTCTGACCTCCACATACATTCCATGGCATGTGCACATGTGTGTGGCACACACACATACACAAAAATAAGTTAATAAATACACATAATAATAAAAGGAATGAAAAAGCAGCTCCTCTGAACCTGGCTGATAGGCTCTCTTCTGAAAAAAAGTGGAAGGGATGGGTTGGAGGGCTGGGGTCAAGAACTTCCGGAGAAATATTTTATAAAAAAAGAAATAACTGAAACACTGTAGATAAACTTAGAAGTACTTCCAACATCTTCCTTTGCTGGGAAAGCTATCTGAAAGCCAAATAGCTAAAAAAAAAAAAAAAAAATTGTGAGTTTTAGTAGTCTGAAGTCTACTAGTCTACTGAGTCCAGTAGGCTGAGCTGGAAAGACCAGCTGCTCACAGCAGCCACTGGACTTGCAGAAGATGGACGGGGTGGGAGACATACATGTGCGCATACACACATGCACAGTGGCTTTTCATAGTATGATGGAAGGATCAGCAAGAGAACCAAACCATGCAAAAAGGTTTTTTTTTGATAGGCCCCTTCAAATTTGAGGGCATGTCTCCCAGGAGCCTCTCCTTACTGCCACCCTGACACAGTCACCAGCCTGGGGATCCAGCATCGTTGGGGGAGTTTGGAATGTAGGAAGCCTGGTTTGTAAGGATGGGTCAGACTTGAACTATGAGCCTAAGAGCCATCTCTTCAGCAGAGATGAAAGAAATATTCACAACCAGGGGAACATATCACAAACTTAGAGAGTTATTAGATATCAGTTTTGTTTTCCTTCCCTGAAAAACTGACTTTGAAAACAATTAAAAAAAATTTGTGGTAAATAGTAGGTATTTATTTAAAATGAAAAAAAAATACGTTAAGTACCTGGACTATTGCATTTAATCATGTATTGTATTTGTGTTACTCTACCTTTTTGCATCAGAGACAGATATACAATGAACATTCAGTATCACAGATTGCACACTAGATAGGAATTCTTCAGGCCTTTTACATAACCACCAAAGAAACAGATATTGTGTTCTGCAATATAATACAAAAGTCCACAATCAATCCAGTCTTAGCCAGTATCATCAATTTACTTCTGTTGCTGTACAAATAATTGGCCATTACTAGGGTTTACAAGTTACTAACAGGACAAAAATATACATTGCACTGACACAAAAAGTCAGCTGTGTTAATGGTCATGCAACAAGTAACCAAACTTGCTGAAATTAAAAATACTTTCTAAAAACAGTTTTAACAGCATAAATATTTTATACACAGTTCATTTACTAAAACAAAATGTATTTAAATGATACAAAGCAAAAATAAGTTTCTACCAACTTTATACATAAGAAAGTGCAAAATAACTTATCTAGAGTGTTTTGCTATTATCCGGATGGTTGGCTGCTTTAGGCAGCTATCTCGCTTCAAAAGCATGACGTTACACTTGCACACTACACACGAATGTTAGAGCACATGGGTGGATGCATGGGCAGAAGGATGTACAGACAAGCTACAAAGATCAGGCTGGAGCCCTGTGAGGTACTCAGAAAAATACAGACCACAGAAAGGTGGACAACATGGTGAGAGTGGATGTTGGTGAACAAACTGACATGGAACATAGAAAGATGCCCAGAGAAACCATGAGCTAATGTCCGTGAGTACACTGCTCTCCGTGAGTGAGTCTGTGATTTCTGCAGTAGAAGCAAAAAGGAAAGAGAAGAAAACCTGATGGAACAAAACAGTTGCCCACAGCACCAGCTGCCAGAGGAAATACTATCTTGAGGGGTTTGGTTTCCACCTGCTAGTTATGGAAGTTGTGTTGGAAAGTTTAAGTGTATTTATCCCAAAGGACTTGAGATTATACAGAGGAATAACCTTTAAGAGACCACACACACATTCCTATATTCAAGTCTTTAAGGAACACCTCTGTCATCAGGTATGGGTAAACATGGTTCATGGACAAAAGGAGGACACCTCTTTGAAAAAGTGTAGAATAACACTGCTACAGTGCATCCAGAGGGGCAGACAGGGCCAGCCCACCACTGTGTGAAAGCACAGTCTCTGCAGCTGGTGAACACCAGCATCGTTTCTAGAGTTGGAGAAGATGGTGATGGGAGAGGGCGAGGAGTGAGGCACAGAAAGGAAAACCACACAACTGTTCTTCAAGTGAGAGTATTAATGCCAATAATCCTTTTATTCACAAGTGTATTTGAACTTTTTAGAAATGGAAGTATTTGAATCAACTTTGATATGTATCATAAATAGACCAGAGGCTCAAACCTAGGTAAATAAAGGTTGAAATTTAGTAGCATAAGGCACTAACGCAGCCTTTACATTTTCTCTTGGAGACCTAGTTATCAGGAAGAACACATATGTTCTTAAGCTGGTTTCAGCCCATCAGGTACAAGATCATTATTGTACCAAATGCCTATTTCTGAACACAGGTGCATATATGTGCATTTTAGTGCATAAGTGTGCCTGTCACCAGGGCCTAAGGATGGAACGTTGGGAAAGCCAAAGCCACTGTCCTTTGCGTGATACCTCTGTGAAGGTGTGAAGGCCTGTCCTTCCTTCCTTGGGCCATTCATGATCCTACGTTGTTCAAATCACAGGGCTTTTAGAATTGTTCATAATATTAGCACTAAGTATCTGAAAATGTTAAAATCTAGATTAATTATTTGATTTCATATACATATATTTATATTTATGTACATAACACACATTTAAAAAAATCCCACCACCAAAGCCATTTTTCTATAAACTAATCTCTTAGCCCCCACCAGCTTTAACCCTTCTGAATTTGTGTGTTCTGTATCCAACTAGTAGAACAAATTAAATAACTAAATATTAAAATACTGTAATTATATTCATAGCAAAACCAAAAAAATAGACATCAATACAGTATAAATCTCACCGTTTTCAGGTAGATGGCATTAAATGGTAAAGGTTAATTTTAAGCAGTTCCGACATGATCCAATTTTACAACAAGGTTTAAATGTTAATTCTGTACACTTTTTTTCACCTTTTTTTTTAATTTTGAAAATAAGCTATATAGAACATTAGTGTCTGCAAAGACACATTCGTGTTATGTTCTATGCAAGAGAAGCTAATCTGGGGTTACATGCAAATAGATTTCCATTAGCTAAGGCAAGACTATGTCCTGCCTGATACGGTCGTCTGATCCCCTTTATCCTACACTAACGTGGTCAGACCACATGGCCTGAGGTTAGTTTAAGGGGGCCTGCCACATAAGCGCAACTGAACTGGCGAGGAACAGGATGCCCAGGTGTTTCCAGGTTACCTGATGACCAGCCAGCTGTCTTCTCTCCCACACTGGATCCTAAAGGTCCACATTTTGGTTACTAGCCTAGCTTAAGTGGAGATACTGTGGGCAACTTGAAAAAAATGATATCAGGCACACAGTCTAGGTTGGAAAAGGAAAAAAATATTACAGAAGATGTCTTTGAGGATTAAAAAAAAAACATATTTATACTGGAGAGGTGTTACATAAACCTTAAGTAGTTCATTGAGTTAGTGGTTTAGTTTGAAGTCTCATGTTACAGGCAATTAGGTCCTTATTTAGAAAAAAAAGGCCTTTATACCTATTTACAATATACAGAGTTACTTGCAAAGAAGTCAGATTTACAACCATTTTCTAGAAGCCTTTTTGTTTTTCTTTGTTTTTCCAAATAAGGATGAGTAGCGCTATAAAAATGAGATTTAGGGAAGGACAGGTAAGGAGCAAGAAGTTTGCTCTTGGAGACGGCTACTGTTACAGGGCGACTCAGGTACTTAAACGCTCCTGAAAACCACCTGCCAGTCACTGTCCTCTGAACCCGTGATCCAATGATCCGTTTGAATTCAACACTTCAAACACATAGTGTGAAGAGATGTGTAAACGGAGACGGCTTCTATGCCTTCTGAGCTGCGACGGGACCAGGAAGTGCTCCCCAGACCATGGTCTCTGTCAGTTTGCACAGCCTTCAACAGTTTCGAGGTCCATCTTCTGACCCCCTCTCATGCTGTAAATTATAATAGCAGTTCTGACAGACGCGCACTGGGGATGAGATTTTCAAGCGTTTGATTTCTGACTGAAATCGACTGCACCTAAAGGAAAGGAAAAATAGGTTGGTTATGGCTCCTGTCTGTGAGTAGTCACAATGTAAAACCACACTAGAAAGCTGGCACATGGTGCCAATGCCCAAGGCCGTGCTGGTTGGTTACTCACACTGCAGATCAAGAACCAAAGGAACTCTGTATCAGCAGCTCCTGAAGATGCCAGGGAGGACACTTATTTGACCAAAGAAAAAGTAGAAAAACAACAACAACAAAAAGTGAGCATTTCCCTTCCCATGAGGCCAAGGTCTGCACAGCTGAGGCCGAAAAGCAGCAGCAGCCGCCGTCACCGCCACCTCGAGCTTTAAACAGACTTAATCACTGCCTCAGGGCTGGTGAGAAGGCTCAGTGAGTAGAGGAGGCTGCCATCAAGGCTGATGCGCTGAGTTTGATCCCTGAGGCCCACACAGTAGAAGTTGAGAACCAACTCCTGCAAGTTGTCCTCCGACCTCCACAGTCTCACTGAGGAATCTCCCTGGTTTCCTGGTCTGTGTGTTTGGCAGGAGCACCAAATTTTGTCTTAGAGTTCAACTTTTTCTTCTTTGAAATCAGAAGAAGATTCAATGCCCATCTTATTCTAATACCCACATATTAATTTCTTTGTTTTGGTGTTGAGACTTACCCAGTGCTCACTTTATTTCTACCTTTATTAATGTATGTATATATATATATATATAAATTATATATTAGTGGTTTTCACAGTGACATACAGCATGACTGATCATATCACCCTCCCTTCCCATCCCTGTGCCCCACCTCCGGGACCTTAACCAATACCCCATCATCACCACACTGCTCTCAGGCCAAGGTTTCTTCTAACTTTCCATATATGACTGGGATATACTTGTTTTTCTGTTCTTCCTCTAATAGTTTCAGAGTTTCAGGTCTTAAGTCTTGATCATTTGAGATGACTTTTGTATGGTGTGACAGAGGGCTGTCTTTCAGCCTTCTGCGTCTGGTTATCTGGTTTTTGAAACACCAGTGTTGAAAGGTTGTGCTGTCTTCAGCTTATGCTTCTGGCAACTTGTCAGCTTGCTTCAGGCCTGGGGCCAACTTCTATATTCCACATTGTTCACGGGCCTGCCTGTTTGCTTCTGTCACTGCCGTGCCACTGACAGAATGTTTGTTATGATTGAGTTCTTTTGTTTTCTCATATAAATTTGAGGCTTGCTTTCCTTAGTTCTGGGAAGAGCCACTGGTATTTCAATGGGGGTCATAATGAATCTGTAGATTACTTTGGGTAGCATGGGCATTTTAACAATATTAATTTCTCTAGTCTGTGAAGTGGGAAGGCTTCCAACCTCTCAGTGCCTTCTTTAACTTCTTTCTTTAGTGGTTTGTAATTTTTATTGTAGATGCCTTTTACTTCCTTTTGCATGTGTACGTGTGTGCATGAACCTGTGGGATTGTATGTTCACATGTGTGTTTGGGTACTTGTGGTGACCAGAGGTCAACCTTGGGTGTTGTTCCACTTGGAATTTCCACTGGAGCCATCTACCTGGTTTTTTGAGACAAGGACATTCACTGGGACCTGGGGCTCACTGATTTAGGCTAGCTGGCTGGCTGGCTTCCTAATGAGGATTACAGGCCTGTACCACCATGCTCAGCTTTGTACACTGGGTGCTGGGGATCTAATTCAGGTCCTCAGGTTACATGGAAAGCACTTTACCAACTGAACCATTTTCCTAGCCAGTCTGTTACTTCCTTAGTTAATTCCTTGGTAGTATATACAGATATACATATATTTATTTTGTGGCTATTGTGAATGGCATTGGTTTCATGATTCTTCTGACTTCTTTAACAGGCATTTCATTCACATTGATATCTTTGGAATTGGTTACTACAGAGTTACGCTGTTGGGGAAATGTCATGTTACCTTGATCTTTCATATATCTTGTGTTCCTAGAGATCTGTGCATCTCATGGAGCGAATGCCTCTATTATTTTTATAAGGACGGCCTTCTTAGGAGAAATCTTAAGGATGTGTTTTGCATCAGTTAATCTTGCAATGTTGAGTTTATTTCCAGATCACTGTCATAGCGTAATCTTCCTGTGGCTTCTCTGGCTGAGATTATTGAGTCTGGGCCCAGTGCCTAGTGGAGAGAAGTTGGAGAGACCCACTGTGTCTGTGGGTCGTGGAATATGAGGATACTGTAGCAATGCAGGCAGGTGTAGAGCAGGTGGTAGTGTGGGGTGCAGGCCCTGTGGCTACTCCTGTGGTGGTGTGGTGGCTGCTAGTGGGTGATGGAGGTTTCCTCGGGCACTTCTGATGCCGAAATTACCATTTTAAGGGTCTCTGTCACTAGCTGCACCAGTGGTCTTGAGGGTCCTAAAGCACTTGTCCTCTGACTAGACAAGTGTTTCAAAGGAAGAGGCAAGGGTGGGGATCACCACCCTAGGGTACTCATGCCCACTTTTGTCTGCAGTACATGATCAGATAATGTGTATGTTTCCAGGACCTATGGTGGGGACCACACAGCCGTGGGGACAGCAGGAGCTATGTTGTTCCTGTCTGCGGCTCCTGTAGTCATACCTGCACAAAGAAGGACTTCAAACTCTCCTCCCCAACCCGTACATGTCTGGGGATGGGGTGATGGTCCCAAAGCTTCTCTCCTCCCGATGCTTTTAGTGGAAGTGCTAGTGGGATTGCATGAGAGTAAACGGTAGATGTCCTCAGGCAGAGTTCTTCTTCAGACTTATGATCCGTGCTCCAGTGGCCTGCCCACAGCAGGACCTGTGGAACTGCTTACAACCTTCCCTGGAGCGCCACTGTGTATGAACAGTGGAACCACAGAGTTCTTTCCTTGCCTTGGTAGTAACAGGGGCGCATGTGCAATGTTGGTGGGGATTGGATTTCAGTGGGTAATAGCCTTCAGTTCTGGCCTGTTTAAAACCAACTCACAACTGGTCACGGCCCTGAGGGCAGGCTCCACCATCCTTGATGGCATTACTGAAGTGTCTGTGGGGTCTCATGGGAGTATTCAGGGCATTCTGACCTTGGAGCAGTCCAGATTCACAATACGTCTCTTCTCAAGATGGCTCCTGGCTATAGCATCCTGGACGTTCACTGGGAAATGAAGTGAATTTCTTTTCCAGTGGCAGGCTGTGCAGATTTCCAACAGATAGGATTGTCAGTGTCTGTGCTGATAGTCTGTTGAGGCTCTCCTTCACCTTTCAGGGGAGGGGAGATGTCTGTTTTCCTGGCTATACAACAGGGCGGCAGGTGCTGGGATATGCCAGTCCTCTCATTGCTACAGATCTTTAGGTTTTACAAGGTTTCTGCTTCTTTTCTATTTATTTCCAGTGTTCACCCCAACCACTCACCTCAATACACAGCTCTATACCTGCTGCCTAGGGTCTTCTTTGTGGAGAAGCAGGTAAATGCTGGATGGCTCTATTCAGCCATTTTGGTGTTCAGTCACTGGCCATTAAAGGGACACTTTGGCTTCCAAACTAGTTCTTCTGCCTTTTGACCATTTTGATAATCTCTTTGATCGTTTCCTTTTTCTTGCTTCATGGTACCGGGAGACTGTGGGGCCTCACAGGAATATTAGAGCCCCGGGCATGTGGGCCAGGGCTTCCCAGCAGACTGCACTCCCAGGACAGCAGTCATTTCCTAAAAACTGGTTCTTTGGCACCTCTTCTTAAGTCCAAGCACTCTCATTTCTACTTATCATGATACAACTGTTTCATGCAGACTATACTTAAGATATGTTCATATTCTTTAACAAGTACCTCAAGCTTCTATTTGTGGAGTAAAGCAGGAAACAGTGCTGGGCATGGCATTAAATCACTTTCAGTCTGGATCTTTACAAGACGGAAATGCAGATTTATACTTAATCTATTAACTGAAGTGTTCAGAGAATAAACCAAATGCTCCCAGCTTAGAGGTTTACTGGACTGCCTACTGGATTTTTATGGAGATGCTCAGGAGTGCTGGCAGGTCTCTCAGTAGTTGAGGGACACAGGACCATGGGCCACGCTGCACCCACCACCCAGCTTCCTTGTGGACCTGATTCAGCACCAACAGTCTCTTCTGGGTCAGTACTCCAAAGAGACTCTACCCTCACGTTTGATAGAGCAATGAATAACTTAGAGAATTACCTATACCTAAATAGCATTTTGACAATACAACACTGCAAAGAACAGATATATGGCAGTGCACATTGGGGTGCTGACCACAGCCAATTATGAGACCACTGTTTGTAGTGCTGGCTTCTAAAACCACAGAGCCACACTACAGCATCCTCTGCTGACCTCACGGAAGCCGCAGTCAGGGATCCTGGCAAGGGCATCCCTGATACCTCATCTTGAATTGGCCTGCTTAGAAAAAAGATTTAAGGAAAAAAAAATATTTAAAACACTCTTAAACCAAACCTCACATCTATCCTCTGTCTCTGTACTTGGAAACATTTAGTTCTCTCAACAGGACTACAAGGCAAGGTGCCATCATCCATTTACCCATGAAGAAACAAGCTGAGAGGTTCAGTAACTTACCTGAGCTAGCAACAAACATGATCAGAGTCAGCAGAAAGGCCACCTCCTTAAAAGTAACCCTGCTGCCTAGAAAACCTCAGTACTTAACTCAGAAAGGACTATACAGTTTGGGAACAATGTGTTTTCTGTGAGAGCATTTGCAGAGTGAGGCAACAGAAGCATTACATTGGGGTGTGATGAGATCATTAGAGTGGGGTGCCATGGGATCACTACAGTGGGGTGCCATGGGATCACTACAGTTGGGTGACATGGGATCACTACAGTGGGGTGCCCCTGGGATCACTACAGTGGGGCACCCCTGGGATCACTACAGTGGGGTGCCCCTGGGATCATTACATTGGGGTGCCCCTGGGATCACTACAGTGGGGCACCCCTGGGATCACTAGAGTGGGGTGCCCCTGGGATCATTACGGTGGGGCGCCCCTGGGATCACTACAGTGGGGTGCCCATGGGATCATTACAGTGGGGTGCCCCTGGGATCACTACAGTGGGGTACCCCTGGGATCATTACATTGGGGTGCCCCTGGGATCACTACAGTGGGGTGCCCCTGGGATCATTACAGTGGGGTGCCCATGGGATCAATACAGTGGGATGCCCTGGGATCACTACAGTGGGGTGCCCCTGGGATCACTACAGTGGGGTAACCATGGAATCATTACAGTGGGGTGCTCATGGGGTCCTCTCTATGTGTGGCAGGGCAAATGAGGACTGTGAGGGAGATCAGGGGAAGACAAGCTTTCATCTGGGGCCAAGACAGACCCCCTAACTCATCACACCTAACATATATTCCAAATAGACTGAAGACTAAACATAAGTAAAACTAGAAACCTTAAAGAAAATATCTTTGAGATTTTAGAACATCAAAATCTTACACAAAAACGTAAAAAAAAGTCACAAATAATAATAAATGCAACTACACCATAATTGAAACCCTATGTACCCTACAGAACATATGCAAAGACATAAGCCACAGACCTGTAGGAAATACATGCATGATGTACAACAGGGTCAGAGTCCAGAGTATAGGAAGAACTCAAGGAAAGAAGAAAGAAAAAAAAGGAGAAACGAGCAAGACAAGACAGCCACCCTACAAGGACAATGGCAGACATTCCCAAGAGGAAGCCCAGGTGCCAATGGCATGAGGTGACACCCAATCTCTCTAGCCTTTCAAGTTAAAACAGCAAGGCACATTTCTGCAGTCATCAGACTGGCAAGGAAACAAGGTTTGGAGATCCTGAGCGTGGCAGAGTCGGGAAGGTTTCCCGTCCTGCTGGGGCAGCGTAAGCAGCAATGCTGCTCTGGTCATTAGTGATGCGCTGAAGCTCCACTCCATCTCCTCGAAGGGAATCCAGCCTGTGTGCTAGTCGGGGCATGCACAGGGGGGCACGCAGAGGGGGGCACCCAGAGGGAGCACACTGTGGCATTATTTGCAAAACAGAAAAAGACCCAAGAATTCTTAAGAGGTCATTAAAAGGAAACTAAACTCTCATATAGTCATACAAACAGGTGCACACAGGTAAAGCAATTATACTAGAATAACAGTTATCTATGAACAGCTTAAAAAATTGAGTGCAACTTTACAGAAGAGTGCAAATAGCACACAGTGTAAAGTTGAGAAACACTGTGTACAGAGCCACACATGCCTATGAGCACAGACTCAGGGAAAGGAAGGTGCATGTGATTGGCAAAGCTGTGAAGCGGACCTAAAGTTGGCATGCACGGTTGATGTGCAGATCTTTGTGCCTCTAAAGCAAGCACAATTACTTCTGTACTTTTCTTACAATAGAAATAGTTCTTGCTTGTAGTAAGAACAAAGAAAAAATGAAAACTGGTTTAAACTCGTTTACACTAATAGCACCCAACAGCAAGCACACAAAAGCAGAGCAGAACGCGTGTGCCGAGCACATCAAGCAGCCCTCACATGGAACCAAGGCATTCAGAAAACATGGGCCTTACTTCTGGCAGAAGAGCTGGCCGCAGTTCCTGCAGTGGTGCCGTCTTTCTGTAAGGGAGAAGCGCACGGAGCACCCTGAGCAGCTGTCACCACCTTCATCCTTCACCCAGTGGTCGGCAGCAGAACGGCCTGGCTGGTCACTCACAGACCAGCTGAACACTCGGCCTCGACTGTCACCAATGAGGATTCTGCTGTGATCCCTGGGGAAAACAGGAGAAGGTCTTTGGTGTGGGGTTCAGAGTGTGCTGGGGCTGATCATAGGGAGCTGATTCCCTTAGGGGAAGCATGATACAAGAGACAAAAAGAACTGAGCCCAGATTTACTTTTCTATTGCAATTTCCTATGGATCAAAACTTGCTATATCTTTTAAGAACACAGAAGACATTTTGATTTTATTTTTAAAGTTGAAAATGAAAAATCCATACAGTGGCAGATTTCTACTACATAGGATAGCACATATGCCACTGGATTGAACTGTGGGCCCCAAGTTATGCAAGTGACCCAGAAAGGGAGACAGGCAGCAAAAGGCTTGGCCTTACTTGGAGACGCCCAATGCGGTGACCTCAGCTGGGTGTGCATTGTCCCTTCGATCAAAGGCTGTATGCATAGTCAGTTTGCTTCTGAACACCAGCTGGCGTTCCCACCGGTACCCTGGAGTAGATAAGCAGGGGACACGACAAGCTAAACCAAGGAAAGCAGTGTGAATGAATGTAGTCTTTGGTCTGAGGTTTCATCTTTAAAACATGCCCAGCTTGTTAACAAACAAAACACATTTGTAGGTCAGCTTCTGTAAATATGTTCTACAGGAGAACAGTCAGAGGCCTTTGTCTGTGGCTCAAGCAATAGAGTTGCTCAAGGACAGGGCCCAGAAGGAAGTGGCCCCCACAGCCCAAATATACCACCTGTCACATACCCACAAGGAGAGAGAAACAGGCCCCAGACTATAAATTACCAGGTTTCAATCTGCTGTAATTTCGTGCTTCGATGGGATTGGGGTGAGGGTGGGCAAGGGGGCCCTGCAGATGTGCTCTGGTCTGGCCCTCAGAATAGTTCACAAATATGAAGCCGTCTTTCTCATCAAGACTCAGCTGATCAGACCAGCGTCTGGAGTCATCAGAGCCACTATCTGTACACCAGGTGGCTGTGGCTCGGCAGGAGGCTGCCCGGGGCCTATGGCTGGTGCTGCTGGGCTGGCTGGGAGCGTCCTTAGGATCCTGGCTGATGCTCTGCTCCTCTGCTTCCGAATCACTGCTGTCCTCGTCTTGGGCTTGCTGCCCTGGGTAAAGCATTGGGAAAATTAGAGAATGCAGACGCATCACAGGCTCGGCTTGGTCCCTACTCTTTTTTTTTTTTTCTATCAGATATAAGGCACAATCACAATTGACATACTACTTCTGGGAACATCCTTAGTTTGGCATTTGATCCTTCATAGTACGATGTAAACTCTACTCTCCCTACCATGGTCCAGATCCTCAGGTGCTCTCCATGCAACCTGCTCCTCCTCACGCAGGTTCTGCATGTGCCATAAAGTCTATTTGAACCTGTCTTCCCAATGCCTGCATGGACTCCTGTTATCTGTCTTACAGAGCAAAAGTTCACAACTTCTTTCTCTAAAATTTTACCCAATTCTTTCTACTCAAAGTATCTCTTCCCCCTTCTGAATTCCTTACTTCTGTGCCTCGGTATCTGAAATTCTTACCCTAAACTTTACCTCTGCACACTCTTTACAAGGTAGGGACAGAAGCATGGGGCAGAAGCACAGGACCTCATCTTTGACACTCAGTAACTGTATGACTACAAAGACAAGAAAGTGTCTTATGAAAGTTTTTATTTTAGATCTTTTCTTCTTCCCATTGTCACTTTTTTATTTCCTCGCATCAATTCCCATCTCTTTCAATAACATCTCCCAAAAGAAAAATCCATGTGAGAAAGTGTGCAAACTGGAAATTAAGGAGAGAAGGCAATAGCAAGTGTTCAAGTGCCAGCTATTATATATACCTATTTATTTATGTTTCTTAGGAACACAAATGTTATTTACATGCTTTCTAAGATAGTAGACTAATCTCAGAGTCCTGTAATCATATTCTAAGCTGTTCTATGTATGTCTTTGACCTCCAATGAGCCCCTAGCTTGTCTTTCTTTTCAGCCAAGTAAAGGTTCAAGTCTCATCCCTGGTACACTACTCAGTGGTCCTTCCCTCTCTGCCAAACTGTGTCCACCGTATGAAGACAGATGGACAAAGATGACATACCAGCATCTCTCTACCCTGAGTATGACCCCTTCTTCCATTTTGCTTATTTATCTCACCTTCTACTGTATTTGTTAAAGGAAGGGAAAATAACCCAGTTCTCATTGGATCCCTTAATCTGATGCCCGAGATATAATAGGCAACCCCCAGTTATTGAATCAACATGAATTTCTGAATTTTATGCCCTCCCTGCCAACATGCTAGGTGACCTTTTGTTGGGGTTATAGTTGAGTCTGTAGAAATTTACATGTTTTAACATAATACGAGAATTAAAATGTGCTGCTTGTGGGATCTGTTTTTCCTGACATGGAAAGTAAACACTTTCCGCTTAGATGGGAAGTGACTATGTCCTTTGGAGAGCATGCCTTTCCCTTCAGGAGCTCCCTTGTATCATCAAAGTCACATGCAAATCTCAGTGTACAAAAATTAACCATAGAGAGCTGATCTGAAGGTCATCAAACTGAAAACTCTGGTTCTTTTCAGCAAGTCATTTGTACCAAACATCAAGGAGGGTAGCATCTCTGGAGATCAACAACACTGGGCAGAACTCTCCTGGTTTTATGACACTGCCTCCAATCATCCTGGACAGAAATCACCTGGCTCTTTATTTCACTGAAAAAGTTTAAAGTGCTTAAGAATGATAACAGATCACAGGCCACCAATCTTCAATTTGAATGAATGCCAGATGTGAGCACAAGGGTGTGCTGTGAGGACCCTGGTGTTTGGCTTGCCTCTGTAGTAAACAATTTACCAGCATGGCACCCTCCTGTCATCCACACTGCATCCCCACATGCTAAGCAGAGCAGCCTGGAACTGATGGGAGGAACCGCTTGATGTAAACAATACTGCGCCCTCTAGATCTGCTTTGTATTTTCAAAACTCAAGGCCCAGGCCTTAACTACTCCAAGAACCACTCAGCAGGATGTGGATATCAACCAAGACTGTGCCACACAGAAGGCACTGGTGAGTCAAGGCAAGCCTGACACATCTGACCAAAGGAGTGACACGGCAGGCAAGGGCAGGACTGCTGTATTGTGTTTGCAGTGCCCAGACGCGGGCTCCTGTTTAGGCTATCTGGTGTAAGTTTTTCCACAGTGACCTAAACAAATAAACAAAATGACTAGCTGATTTCTGGAACGTGCTAGGTACCTATTTGTGCTTCTGAACAGTCTTCTTGCATTTCTAGGACTTCAACGGGCTCAGGAGCTGGTGTTTCAGGAACTTGCAAAAACTCCATTCTCCAGAACTGCATTTAAATAAACATGGAAATAAACATCATTTCAGAAACATATCAAGGAAATAGCGAACACATCATTTCATGAAGATGCACCCTGAGGTTCAGAAGGTAGTTTCTGTGACTGCATAGAAGCAAGTTTTTCTGACCTTGATAGTGTGGTGGGGCTGCCTCCTATGGCAGTTATTCCAGGCTAGAGGGAAAGGACTGTGGCCAAGAAAGTTTAAAATCACTGTCAACTACATGAGTAACCTTTGTCTCCCACAAAAACCTCTCCAATTCTTACAAACATGAATATAGCCCTACCCACAAGCGTATTTGTAGTTTTTTTTAACTTCAGAGTTGGAGCTATGCCATTTTTGACAACGCCTTACAGATTTAGCAGGAGGAACTGCATCCTCAAGAATGCAGGATGTGGTGTGCCTGTGCACTGCTGGTTGAGGCAAGGTATGGCATGGAGTAGGCTGACAGCCTTGCTGTCTCTAAGCCTGGGGCTGTGATTAAGGAGGGTAGTGATCAGTCACTCTGCTTTGACAAAGAGCACAGCAAACTCAATCAGACAAAAAACAGAAAAGAACTGGGGAAATGGGTAGAGGCTGATCACTGCTGGGTGAGGGAGCGTTGATCTTTAAGGGAATGATGTTAGATAGGCTGAACAGGCTCCAGTGGTTAAACTCACACTGAGGGACATTTGGGTACACAAACTTGACTCAACAGGCCTCAATATATACGACAAAATGCATGAAGTCCTGTAGGAGGGCTATGGGGAGCAGATGGGGGGGCTAAATATGATTAAGATGTATTGTATGAAATCCACAAAAATTCTATAAAAATATATTAAAAATCGTGGCTTCAGCGCTTAAGATAGTGGCAGTTACTGGCAAATAACACATGTGCAATAAAGAACTATGTAGCCTAATTTTTCCCTTTATCGCCTTCCTTCCCTGGGATCCTGCATGCAGTTTCCTTATATATGCTATACACACATTTATATATATATATATATTATATATATATATATACACACACACATACACACACACACACACATATATATGCACAAAGGAAAAAAAAAATCTCTTGAGAAACTCAAACATCTGAGCAGACTACAGAGGTCAGTATGTTCACTTTCTTTTCTATAAAGGTCCACCAACAGACAACTGGGAAAAGAGATACAATGCCCTGAAGTTTCAGGGGAAATCATGTGGGCTCCAGCCTGAGAATAGACCTGTGGCCTCATGATTATCTGTGTGCGTGTGTGCGCGTATGCACACGTGCATGCATGCACTGACATTGGATGTCTTCTCACTTTCCACTTTATTTTTTGAGACAGGATCTCTCACTGAATAGGAGCTCATGATTGTAGCTAGATTGGCCAGCCAGGGAGTTCCATGGATCTTCCTGTCCCCTCCTCCTCCCCCTCCCCCCAGGGTTACAGATACATGCTGTTGTGTCTGCTTTTACATGGGTGCTAGGGATCCAAATTACTTAGCCCCTCAAGGTATACTTTCTAGCTCCAATTGTGAGGAAGAGACTGTCCCTGCTTCCTATGCTACCCTTTAAAATCCAATATTTACACAGTTCAAGTTGTTAGCAGTTCCAGGATAGCATGGGTGTGTATATGACCTTACACGTCACAGTCAAGTGGTCACTAATAGATCTGCTTAGTAGGAAGAAAAGAAGCCGAATCACTAGTGTTCCATGTCTCACACTGGCACCAAGGCGCGTGTGAACTGGAATGAGTTTTTGCTAAACAATACAACCTGATGAGGTGTCCATAAACTTCAGGCAGCTCTAGAAGGTTCAGGTTTCAACTGCAGAAGCCAATATTCTAGTAGGTTCTTCTCTGAGGTCACTTACCCGGACCACTCCGTCTGAGTGTCCTGTCACTATGACATTCTGTGTGTCCCATTCGTTCATCTCTGACACACAGCAGCAGACAATCTGCTGGCTCCTGCCTGTGAATGTGTTCACACTCACAACAGGGTTCCCATTAATGCTCCACACGTGGATGTAGGTGCCAGCGCAGGACACAATGTCCCCCTGAGGAGACAAAGGAAAGCTTGTTACTCTCTTCATCCCCTTCATATTACATGATGGCTTTGGAAGCCTCGCTCTCAGATACCGCAGTCCTTGCATAGTGACCGAATAACTTCTGAGATAACCTGGAATTCAGTGCTTGCTGACCCAATAGAAAGAAGCTTCGTTAAGAGTTCAAAGTTGAGTGAAAACTCATGTTTTCATGAGTTCTAAAGATAGGAAAAGAATAAGCATTTTAATACAATCCTAACAGGCAGGATTTTCCCCAACTTGGCCAACTTGGTCAGAAGGCAACTCATTATAGCAAAAGAAAGTGTGTGTGTACCCCAGGGGTTGGCACCTTAGGCATTCCACTTAACCAACCCTGACTATGGCCTTGTCAGGCTAGTCAGCTGTCACTAGCCTGCTAGAGGATGAAAGCAAGGTGCAAAGGCCCACGCTGGACAGTGTCACGTAAACTGAAGTGAAGCTGGTTGGATAGTGGTTAGAGGCATGTAACAGAAATAGAACTCTTCTCAGGAGTTACCAAGGCATTACTAAAGCATCTTGAAAAGAAAAAAGGCAAGACAAAACAGAAAAAAAAAACCCCAACCAAACACCTAAATGCTTCTGTTCTGTTTGCAGCAGCAACGCCTGTACTCCAGTGGGCGTGCAATGGCTCAAATAACTGACTATAAATAAAATTCTCACTATTTAAGAACAAATTCAAATTAGAGTGATCTAAACAATGAGATCAAGTGTCTGACTCAGAGCAACATTGGTGGGGCAGAGTGGTTATGCTGTCCCTGTATCTTTAGAAAGCTCTTTAATATACACATTTATAGGAAACACAACTGGTGTTCATTTACTACATAGAAAGTCAAATGTGACTTTCACCAGTACATGCCCCCAACGTTCCCAGCTCTGAGCACTCCTATTCCAATCAATTAGGCACTCTAATTGCTAGTCATTAGAACTGAATTTCTTTCTTTTTGAGTCACTACCAGATACTTAAATAACATACAATGCTTAGTGTTTCAGTTTGACTGTGAAATGCTTCCCTCAGGCTCGTGTGTTTGAATGCCTGGTCCTCAGGTGGGGCTGCTGGTGGGAGCTTTGTGCAGGAGACACAGTGCTGGAGGTAGGTCACTGGGGGTGGACCCTTGAGACACATGCTGGCCCTGCTTCCAAGCTGCTCGACATTGAACTCTCCTTGTTAGCCTCAGTACAGTGTGACCAGCTGCCTCACACTCCCACAGCCCATAGACAAGGTGATTTAGCTGCCATGCCTTCCTCACCATGATGGACTGTATCTACTTAACTCATAAGCCCACATCACTCTTTCTCCTTTAAGTTACTTCTGCCAGGTATTTGGTTATGGTAATGGAAAGGTAAGTGACGCACGTAGAACCACTGGTAGAAAGTAAAGGTGAAACTCCTCTCCAAAGGAAGGCTGCCTGTGTGGATGATGCTAGGAGCCTTGTGCAATGGCATGACTTGGAACCACTGTGCCCTGAAGGATGGCCCAGGGCAGGACAGGATACAAGGGGAATGGGTGTGCGCAGTTGAGAAGCTATGAGCCAATGGGTGGGCTGCTGTTAAATTGTAGGACTGGTTAGCAGATGTGTGTGGGGGGCATCATCTGGACACGGGGTCACACACAGAGGTCTCAGCTTTCGGCAGGCCACCCTGACCTTCTCCTGCTTCTCATCCCCTCTTAGCACTGGAGTACCCTCTGGGCTACCTCAGGTGATTTGGTCTATGGGGGAACCTCTAGGCCAATGCATACATTTTAATCTGATTCACTTCGTGTATTTGTGTAGAAAATATTAATTTTTGGAAAAAAGCAAGTATTTTTCAGTATTTTGAGATCTGTTCTTAAAAATAACTTGATAGTTATTTTTCCCTTGTGTGTGCCCAGTGGTTAACTCTTTTCACTTTACATAAGAAATAATCAATCTGAATATATTTCACTAAAAATTTCAACAAAATTCTCACATTTTTAATAAGTCCCACATTTCCTTATTTTCAGAAAAGGACACTCTAGAATGTTTTATTTTCATCAGCTCTTGCTCTCTTTAAAATATACAGTGGTAAATGCATTTTAGAATAAAACTCTATCTGGGTTAAAAATGTTAACATCTGTTTGCTTTTCAAACAACACATAAATCAAGCAAAATGTAGTGACTTCAACAGAATGGATACCTATCAACTTAGAAAACAGCCATTTTTTGGTTAGTTTGGCCAGTACGCTTCCTAAACATACTACTTACTGTTAATTCATTGATACAAAGAGCAGAAACTGGAGCTCGGTGGCCACGGAGCTGGGTTAGAAATGACAGTTTGTTCAAATCCCAAATGATGCAGGTTCTGTCCCGGGACCCACTGACGATGATGTGATAGGCCAGTGATGCTGTGGCACAGGTGACAGTATCAGTGTGGCCAAGCAAAGCCTGCAAAAGAGAACAGAAACAAATCAGGTGAGCCAGAAGGGCAGGGTTGCCTAGGTAACTCCAGAGCTTCTAGATGCATCAGCATGGGGGTGGGGATGACGCTCTGCAGGCTCCTTTCTCCATTTTTAGTTTCTTTCTTGGTGGGAAGGAAAAAGGTGGGCAGGACCTTTGCAGAAAGAGGGAATGGCAGCAGCAACCTGGCTTAGGGTTCTTTATACTCTTTCCACGTGGTCATGTATTAATTGTGGGACCCAAAATAGAGAATTTAAGCTACGTCTCTATTCTTTTTGCCACAAATCCTTATTTATTCTATTCTGAGGACCTACAATTGGATAACTTTAAAAAATGTATAAACTGGGGCTGGAGAGACAGCTCAGTGGTTAAGAGCATTGACTGCTCTTGCAGAAAACCTGGGTTTGATTCCCAGCACCTACATGGTGGTTAACAACCATCTGTAGCTCCAGTCCCAGGGGATCGGACGGCTTCTTCTGACCTCTGCGGGAATTGCATGACATGGGTGCCCTTACACATATGCAGGCAATACACTCACTCATACACATAAACTTACAATAATAAATAAAAATTTAAAAAATGTACAAACTAAGTGCAATTGCAATTGTTACGTGTTACTCAAAAATAAAGAGATTAAAAAAAAATACAAATGGTAAGAACAGTGTGATTGTGGTTGATGGTTCTAAATAGGGAAAGGCATAGTATGTCCTGATGCATCGCCACACTGTAGTCCTGCTACCTATCTGAGAAGCTCTGCCTGAGAGGAGCTCCTTCAAACTGGGGAAAACCTTATCTCCTAACTGCAATATGAGAATTAACAGAACTCAGGGAAATGGTGATGCATAAAAGTAAAGATTTGGGGGTGCTGGAGAGATGGCTCAGTGGTTGAGAACACTGGCTGTTCTTGCAGAAGACCCAGGTTCGGATCCCAGCACCCACATGGCAGCTAACAACTGTCTGTAACTCCAGTTCCAGGGGATCCGACAGCCTCTTCTGTCCTCCACAGACATTGCATGACACGGGTGCACTTACCTACAGGCAGGCAATACATGCATACACAAAAAATAAAAAAATAAAATATAAAAAAAAAAAAGATTTTGAAGAAAAGGACTCAGAACACTGTTAGGAGTTCTCGGGCACCAAGAACACACTATTTCTCTGTTCCCTGCTTAAATAAGGAGCTGCATATAGTTTTGGTCATAAGGACATCTATAGGTATGCCTAGCAATACCAGAAGGCAATTTTAAGTAAGAAGTCCATTTAACTGACATGTGAGCTTCAAAGACCAACCTCTAATGGGAAGTAGTCTACCCAGGGAGTGTGGATCAGCAAAACATACTGACAGACTTATCTGCATTCCTGTAGAGACTATGTCTCTTTACATGCCTTTCCTCATGACCCAGCAAGTCCAAGGGACTTCTGGTCCACATGGAAGGCTGTTCGTAAAAGTACAAGAGGTTTATTTCTTTCCATGTACAGCTAACACACGACTATTTGTTTGATTTTGGCTTTAAAATAGCATTAGAGTCAGAACTGTATTTAAATTCTGGCTTTATCACAGGGTGACTTTGGGAGGCTTCTTATTCTTAGGTATGCCTTTTCCCTTAGTTTATATAATAACTACCTTGCACAATTTGATGATTGGAGTTATATATTTTTAACATATGTACAATGGCCTGAACATAGTAGGCACTCAGAAAATAAGACAGTATTATTATACTGCTTTTCAAATTATGCTATAAAAACACAGATGTATTTTCCTTATTTTATGAACACCTTATGATCCTCACAAATCAAATATTACAAAACAGCTTAAAGCTGGCAGAATGGCTCAGTGGATAAAGCTGTTTGTAGCACAAGCCTAATGATCTGAGTTTGATCCTTGGAACCTATGTAAAGCTCGAAGGAGAGATCTGACTCCACAAAATAGGTTACACATCTTACAAAAGACTTCTTACACTAAGTAAAAATTAATAGAATCAGATAGATTAAAGTGATCAAAAATATTTGTTAACTGTGTCATGAGGGGTTTTGCCAAATATATTAAAGAGTCTGGCATGTCCTTAGATTTGACAAATGACAAAAGAAACACAAAAGAAACTTGGTGGTCTAGATGAATGGAAGTCACCTTGGAGGGAAGTTAATGTGAATCAATAGCAAATAATAATCTTGCTTACAAAAATTCAGTTGTACATATAATTTCTAAGAAACACTTAGGTTACTAACTATGCTGAAATGTTATTACCTAAAGGCAACTTCACTTAAATTTTAAGTGACAATTTTTTTAGAAACAGTATATTCTGATTTATTTATTTAAATGGGTTGGGGAAAATAGATTATGAGTCTAAGGCCAGCCTCAATGGCATAGCCAAAAGCAATCTTAAAAAACCCAAACGCCCAAATCAACAAACACCATCCCCCCATACACACCCCAGCTCCCCCAACCATATTTAGGCTTTGCCTGTTATGTCTGAAGTATCTCTAAATTAAGGAAGCCCTTTACTGTTTAGGAGCACTGGCAGCTGAGCTAGACAGTGCCCACCCTGACTACAATGTTACCTGCTTGAGCGTGAGGGTCTTCGCCTTTTCTTTTGAGGTTCCCATCTCCCACACGCATACCACTGTGCTTGTACCACCCGTGATGACCAACTTGGGGTTGGGGCAGATCGCACAGAGAATCTGGCCCCACTCGGACAAACATTCATAAACCGTCACTGCCTGTGAAACAAAAAGAGATGTGAGACACACGTGCCACCAAGTGCTCTAGACTTCAGTGACATCAGGGGCAGAGCTGGGTGGGGGGAAGGCCCTCCATGAAGGCCTCCCAGGCAAACACTGCCTCCAACTCCTGGCCAGGTTCAGTTCCGTGATATTTCTACTGAAGCTCTGCCCTCAACTGCCCAAGAGCTTTCTAAGTGCAGTGGCTGCTGAGCCCCCAAATTAAATAGGGCTGTGTTTCTAACAAACTCAGTTTTCTACAGTTTGGGAAGACGATGTTCAACTTGCGTATAATAGTATGTAAGACAGTAAGAAGGGTGTCTGTTAGGGCCAGTGGAAGTGTGAAAAGGGAGCACGAACTGTTCGGGGAGCACAATGCCTAAAGGGAACTGTGCTCATTAACTGGTGGGCTCTGCAGTTTCTTTTGTAGGTAGGAGGGTCCATCATATGGCAAACATCCACTAAAGATCATTGATTTGCTCCTCTAGATACAGCAGCTGCAGCTCTGTGTGGGATGGGCTTAACAAGGTTTCTGCACCTACTCTAGAGTATTACAATGGTAACTTAGTCAGATGGCAACTTGCCAAAAAGGAGGCTATTTGGGTTGGCAGAAATAGTGAGACCTTTGCTGGCTAAGACCTCTTAGAAGAATCTGGCAGTGGGAGGAAAGCAAGTGGTTTTTAGGTGTTCTTCAGGCAGCATGACTGCTCCACCAGCGCCCTCATCATAGGATTCGAGGAGTGCTCCTTTCTTCTTGTGTTTGGACGAATAGCTGACAAATCCTTGGACTGGGTTCTCCCCACCTTTGTCAAACCAAGTTGTCCAGATCATGACAGAGCAAGACTGCAGAAGCAGGAAGCAATGCATACCTTGTCTGACTCATAGGTTCCCAGTCTGCAGCTGAGATCTGCATAGCCCCAGGCGAAAGTTTTGTTCCATGTTGGTGGAATAAGAACCTTGTTCTGCTCTACTGCAAGAATTCCTTTATCTGTACATACTATTTGTCCCACAGGCTCTTTGAGTTCTACAAAGAAACAAATCATTGCACTGACACTCAGGGAGGGAAAACTTATAATCTCAGTTTGACATATTCATACACATCAAGCATCTTGGCACTTAATTAAGACAAAATGATCTCAGAAGTATAGCTTGGCTGGTCAGATCTGCTGGTTGGGCCATCAACCTTGCTTTCCTGTTTTTAGATAGGTTTAGTGATCAGGCCTGATTCCAGGGCTGCAGGGTAATCTGACATATTCCTCAGAATGTCATGGAAACACAGAACATCAAATCTATGCCCTCATCTTTCTAAACTCTAGGCAACCCTTAGACTGTTTGAAGGCTGTGCCATTCCCTGAGAAGTACAGACTCCTGGCTCCACATTAGAAAGTATCAACCTACTACTCCAGAATAGTGGCTGAGTGGTGACTGGGATGGCACAAAGCAGAGTCTGTATAGTAAGGCAGGACGGTCAAGGGCAGCCAATCAAGTGACTCAGACTTTGAGGCTCCAATATCTGACTTCATAAAACATTTTGTTTTCATTCTATGGGAATAATTTATATCTGGAAAAGCACTTTTCGATAATTCATTATACTACCAGACAAAAGATATTTGTCTTTCAGTTGGCACATTGAAAGGACATTGAAAATATAGAACCCTTAGTGCTATTCCAGATAAACAGAATATATAAAAATAAAAATGAAAAATGAAGACAGATTTTTTCTTACATGTAATGTTTAAATTATTAAAAAAATTAATTTTGATGGTTTAGACAAAATTTTGAATAACTTGATAGGGAGAAACCTGCTTGATTCTTCCTGATGTAAATTACAAAATGCCAAAAATAGAAGGAAAATAGGAAAAAATATATATGCTAATAAGTATTAACACAAATGTAGAAAACTTACAGCAGATGACACTGTTGCTAAATCATATAGCTAGGATTATTAAACAGTCTCATCAGATCTTGACTCCAAAGTTCTGTGCCCACCAGTTTACCTTTCACAGGTGTTAATGAAGGCCTTAGGTTGTCTAGATGATGGAAAAAGATCTTGTCACTCGTGGATCCTTGTGGGACAGAGATTCCTACAGTGTCTCCATTGAGCCGGCTCCTCACTCTCTTCGGCGGATGAGGTTTTTTAAACAACTGGTGTAGAAGAAGGTGATACACTAAATGAAGGATGACATTTACCAAGCCCTTCTGTATGTCATGCGTTATGCTCTTATTTCGCTTAAGCTTCATTACAAATATTAGGCATATTATTCTCATTTTGCATTTGAGGAAAGACATTCAAAGAGGTTAAGAAGATTGTGAGAATTTACCACAATAAGTAGGGACAGGATTATGAAGCAAAGCTTGGGTTGTTATAAGATTCAGCTAAGCCAAATTAGCTTTCTGAAAAACTATAATCTACTCAAAACTACAAGCTGGCTGACACTTATTCTCCAATGGTATTTAAAAATCACTGGGGTTTCTATAGCCCAATTCCACTCTGCCCCTGAAGGCAGGCAAGCATTGTAACTGGATTACTTTTGGTTTTGCACAGCCACTCTTAATGTGATTTAGCAACGTCATTGTGATATCTTTTAGGTATTAGTAACTTGCTGCAAACTTATTAGCCCCATTATGCATTTGAAGAAAGAAATTCAAAGAGGTTAAGGAGACTGCCAGAGAACTCACACCACAGAGAGGCTTATGAGAGCTTGCCTGGTTATCAGGGTCACTTTATTTTTCCCCCAGAAAATAATTTTTAAAAGAAGAAATAAAAATCTTCGGCATTTTTGTTCAGTGTTTCAACAAGATTAAAAATATTAAAGTTCATTTAAAGAATTTTTTTAAATTGTGGATCTTTGAAACATACATGTAATAGTTTGTGATGGGAAAATAGTATCTGAGGAAAGTAGCTGAGAACGAGGACGAACGCACAGCTATGGTTTGTGAAACCATACTTGGATCACAAGAGAAAAAAGGTGGGAAAAAGACCATGTATAGAGGAAGACAGGTACATGCTCCCAAGCCTTTGAAGGCTTTGTTTCTATTTTAGATCTATGTAGGGACGTGGGCCAGGGTTCTGTTATCACTTATAGATGTGAAGTTTGTAAGAAAAAAAAATTACATTGTGGAGCACGATCATGAATAAATATTCACGTAAGAACTTTTATGTGAAGACCAAGGCTAGAGCACTGTGCAAGGTCACAAGTAGATGAAGCGAGGTAGCTAAGTGACCATACTACCTAGATACTCTAGGACGGTTCTAGGCATTTGCTATATTATTCAATTGAATATCCCAGAAATACACGGGTATCCAAATTTTATCTCCCAGACTGCTGGTCTCTTTCTCCGAAGTAGTGTAAAACTTCAGTAGTACAGAGTCTTGACTGTATTCAGCATATTCATTTCCTATATAGGGCTCCTGCCTTTTTAACCCACAGGAAAAAGGAAGTTTAACTAAATAAAGATCCAAGCAAGATTCTCTACCTGAACAGTTTATCGACAGCACTTGCTCTAAAGGTAAACTTGTTTTCTTTGTTGGGGCTTGGGTGCTCTGTGAAGGACAGAGGACTGGCTGTCCCACGGTCTATCACTGCTTTTCCATAAGCAAAGACTTGCCATTGTTCCATGTGTTCCCTGTGTCAACACTGGAAACCTCAAAGCTGGCAAACCTACAGACAGGGACTCTAGATGTGACAGGTAGGCCAGGAATAGAGAGGTCAACTAAGTGCAGAGCCTTCGGGCCTCGGTACAGGAAGGTGGCATGAGCAGCCAGCTCCACATCTCCGTACTGTGCTGCAGCCACTCCCGGTGTTACCAATCCTTCTGCTCACCCTGCAAGGTGGGGATGAGAGAAGAGGGTTTGCTCTTCACTGAACCCATGTGGTGGTCTATAGTTTGAGGGCTGAAGCTATTGGTTTTCCTCCCTAGGACTGAGATGGAGGAAGGGAGAACCAGCTACTGTCTGTCCCAGCCAGTCTTATCATGTGTGCTGTCATAGCACAGTCCTGTTCATATCTGTTGATGATGTAACCCAAACTGCCACCACTGCTCCCCAAAATGTTGAGTCCCGTGGTGATTAGTTTTAACTGTCAACTAGATATAACCTAGAATCACTTGAGTAGGGTGTCTATTACATAGTCTATAAGTGTGTCTGTGGGGGATTCTCTTGAAGATCAGCCTGAAAATGAGCAGACCAGTCTCAGGTTTGGGCCCTTACTCTATGAGAAAAAAAAAAAGCTAGCTGAATACTAAGCATACATGCATTTATTTCTCTCTGCTCTTGACTGTGGATGTGATGTGGATAACTGCTTCAAGGTCCTGCCTGGACTTTCTGATGGACTGTTACCAAGAACTGTGAGCTAAAATAAATCCTTTGTCCCCTAAGGCTGCTTTCTGTTAGGGCATTTTATCCAAGCTACAGTAATGAAACTAGAATAGTTCCTAAGTGCTCTTCTCCCAACTTAGCTGTACGGCAGTGTATGTGTGCAAGAAGGAGGGAGAAGAGAGAGGGAGAGAGAAAGGAAGCAAGACAGAGAGAGAAAGCAAGCAAGAGGGAAAGAGAAAGTGAGCGAGACAGAGGCGAGAAGGGAGAGAAAGTGAGCGGGTGAGAGAGAGGAGGGAAAGAAAAAGAGAGGAGGGAGAGAGAAAGGGGGAGAGAGAGAGAGAGAGAGAGAGAGAGAGAGAGAGAATAATGAACACTTTAAAGCTTAAATACAGACATTAATTCCTTGTCTATTGTTTGTATTGGGTTGGCCTGGTCTCAGGATGAAATCCCATCTTACCAGGCCTCTCCTGCTAGGTCTTGGGCTGATACAGGAATATTTATAATGTACCACTCTGAGAATAAAATATCTCTTGGAATAACAAAAATTCTATTTATGTGGGCTATGAAAGGGAAAGGAAAGTAATAATTGAAGCATCTAATGGGTGATAGTTACGGTTGCTATATTGAGTGAGTCTATATTGCATAGCCATCTACCATCTAGAGAAATGTTACCACACTGAAGAGATGAAATGGAACACACTAAAGATAAGCACATCCATACCTGTTTAGGGATTTGACCAAAATTATTAATGAACCCGATGGTGGCTGTCTCCTTTAGTGGGTCATTGATGTTGTAGATATCCACTTGACCCTCATAAAAAAGGTGATGGAAGACATTGACAGCTTCTACTGCAGCAGGGCCCTGCTGCTTGTAGCCAAAGATCAAGTCAATCCACTCATGCAGGTGGGCACTCACGTAATCACACTCCAAAGCCTGTGATTCCAAAACACAGGTTGAGTCACAGGCTGGCTTTTATTACTTGTTCACAACATAAAAGACACTAGTGGTCAACAGGAACTAAAATGGTTAAAAATTCACAAGGATGATATGGTAACTTAACGAGTGACATACTGTTTAAGGTCCCCTCTGTGCTGTGGTCACTGACCAAACGAAACCCAATTTCCCCCTTACCTCACGGTGGACTCTGATAAACTCTCGTGGGTCTCCCTTTGCCCAGGGGGGAAGGATAACATCTCCAAGTTTGGTGCCATTTTGTTTACAACCTGTGCAGTTGGACACATTAGAAAGAAAATGAAAGAGTGAGATAAATGGCAATTTCCTACTAAAGAGACAGAAGGAAAGAGTGTGCTAGATTCATTACCAGACCTCTACTGTTTTACCACAGAACACCCACCCTTCCCGAGATCATGTATTTTGGTCTTTCTCCAATGCGGCTCCCTAGGGCACTCCTCAGAAAGATTTGCCAAGCAAAAACAAGGGCCTTACTCTCAAGTGTCTTCAGGAAATGCTGACTTACAAAGACAAACTTTTTTTTTTTTTTCCTATAAGGCTCCACAGGGGTTTCAATATGCTAAATTCACTAAGAGAAAATCCAGACATAGTTTTTGGAATGTTACTGGCTACAGGACTTCTTTTCAATGACACATCTGTGAAGCTACTGTCTGGAGTTTCCTAATGGTAAGTGCAGTACAGGAGGCCTCTTATCTTTTTGACAAAATTTGCAAGAGACCTCTGTAGAACTGAGATTTCTGCAGCGATTATTCTCATTAGGAAATGAAATCTGAAGCTGGGCGTGGTGGCGCACGCCTTTAATCCCAGCACTCGGGAGGTAGAGGCAGGTGGATCTCAGTGTGTTCAAGTTCAGCCTGGCCTACATAGTGAGTTCTAGGGGAGCTGGGGCTACAGGGAGACCCTGTTTCAAAAAAAAAAAAAAAAAAAAAAAAAGAAAGAAAAAAGAAATCTTGGGAACACTGGGGCTGCCTGGCAAAAACAAAAACATCATTTTATAATAATGCATATAAAATAATATTTATTCCATGCAAACTTATTTTAAGTTAACCTGAAAGTACTAAAGAACTCATTTGAGCTGGGCATGGTGGTACACACGGGGATTGTGAGCTGGAGTCCAGCCAGGTCTACATAGCAAGTTGTAGGCCAGCCTAACCTAGAAAATACAATCCTGACTCAAAATTAAATAAGTGAATAAATAAATAGATAAAAAAAGAAAGAAAAAAAACCCATTTGCTATAAGGTTTAAAAAATTAAGTGGAATTAACATTTAAAGAAACAAGTTCTTGTTTTTAAGAAATAGCTCCAAAAAATCATTTTAGCTTAGAGTTTTCATAGGTACAAATGAGATTAGTACTGTAAAAAAAGGACTATAAATAGTAAACAACAATGTGGATTAACTTCACAGCAGTTGGTTAGATAAATGCTTGTGTTAGGAATTTCATAGAGAAATGCAGTAGTACAAATTTCAGAGCACTGGGCTGAGTCCAGTGAAAGCCAATAAAAATACTTCCCTTAGAAACTATCCTGTCTTCCTCATGTGGGATCAGTATTTTTAATGTTGTATTAAGTGACAGATACAAAGATCAGTTTCCTGATCAGTGTATTAATTGGGTTAGAGGTTACTATATGACGTCAGTCAAAAATAAGTCATTACAGTGACCACATACCCTTTACATCCCTCCAATCTATTCAAATGTTCTCTAGATCTAATTTTTTGGTAACAAGAAACAATAATAACCCCCAGGCTTCTTGAGAAATAACCTACTTAAAAGTTTTATTTATTTTATGAGTATGAGTGTTTTACATGCATGTATGTAAGTGTGCCACATGCATGCAATGCCCATGGGGGCCAGAAGAGGGTGTCAGATCCCCCGGAACTGGAGTTACAGATGGTTGTTAGCCACCATGTAGGGAACTGAACCCATGTCCTAAGAGTGGCCAGTGCTCTTAACCACTGAGCCCTTTTTGTCACCTGAAAACCTACTTTTAAAGAGTGCTAATCTGATATAATTTAATTTTTCTCAGCACTATCTACAATTTTAAAGACATAGGTAGGGAGTACAGTTTGTAGAGAAACCTGAAGCTAATTATTCTAAGAAACTCTAGAACCAGGAGGAAAAAAAAAAAAACCCCAAGTTTACATAACTATCTTTTCTTGGTTGAGAGGGACGTGGTGTTGAGTTTTGTTTTTGTATTTTTTCTTGAGGTAAAATTCACACAAAAAAATCAATCAGTGTGAACCATGGCAGTTTGTAATTCATGAATTATTTTTCACCCAAAGAAACCATGATGCAGTTTTCTTCTCTCCTGCACTGAGGCAGCCTCCAATCCATCTTGTCTTGGTGGATTTACGTGTTCTGGGTACTGGCTAAGGACAGAGTTATCCATCATGTGACTAACTTCTGTTGCAGGCCTTTCCCACTCAGCATGCTTCTAAGATTCCTCTACTGTTATAGCTTGGATCTGGAATGTACTGCAAAGGCCCTTGTGTCAAACACATGGTCCCTAGATTGGTGCTATGGGGAAGTGACAGAAACTTTAAGAGGCAGGGCTTCAAGACGGCCTTTTGGTCACGGGGGAAATCCCTTCCTGTTCCTCTCATTCTGCTTCCTGGCCATGAGGTGGACAGCTTGCTACACCATGTGTTTCTGCTGTGATGTGCTGTCTTGTTACAGAGCCAAAAGCACCAGGACCAACAGACTATGGGCTAAAATCTCCAAAACTGGGAGCCAAAACAAAGCTTTTCTCTTTCTAAGTTGATTATTTCAGTGTTTGTTACAGGGCAGGAGGATGACTACCACATGGATGTTGTGGTATTTTCAGGGCTTCCCTTGTCCATGTGGATGAGTGCTATTTTATATGGTGTGTGTGTCTGTGCATCACAATGTGTTCATCCATTCACACTCACATACTTCTGGGCTACTTCCATCATTTGCATTCTGAGAACAGTGCTACTCTGCATGTGCCTGTCTGTGTGCTTGTTTCAGCTCCCATTTTTTTCCATTCTGTGTATGTAGAGTGAACTATGCAGGCTGGCCTGAGACCTACAACCTTCCTGCTTCAGTCTCCTAAGAGCTGGGATTACAGGTGTGCACCATCACATCCAGCTGATGGCAGAAAACATAAGTAGGGCATCAAAACAAAACAAAATGAGAAAACAGAATGGTATCTGGCAAGAACATTCTAAAGCGGAAGCAATGGAATTCTGATATAAAGAAATCCTCAGAAACACAGATCAGCAAACTGTCTTCCAAGAAATTGTAACCTAAGTCAAACGCCCTTCCTCTAACTGCCAGATAACAGAAAAAAGCGCTACAGATGAAATCTTTCTCCTTTTAAAAAATGCTGATTTGGTACAAATTTTCTGGAAAACAGGACCCTCATAGGATAAAGAAAAGTGAATTAGTTAATTTTGAAATTCCATTTTTAAAACACATCAGCATATAAACTGAGAATGCTTCAGGTAATACACAAGATTAAAGCAATATCTGAAAAATGTGGATATACCACTTTGGGATATTAACAGATTTTCAATGGTAATGTTTCTCAAATACATCTTTATTTCACCTTAGTTTTTACCAAAGCAACAAAATTCTGAGTATGAGATGCCCTCTGCACGAATTCTAAAATTTCTCAAAGGCGCACAGTTGAAACAGCTCTGTTGGGGAATGAACTTGCTTTACTTGTTATATTTCATTACACCACACACACTCAATCATAGCAAATAATAGCCAGTCAAACCACAAGGGCTCTCTTCTTGTTCAAGAGCCGCAGAGCCTTCAGAAGAACGCTTGCTTCCCAGCAAACATTCCTAAGAAGTGCCAGAGCTCTACGTACCTAGATCGAAGTTGTTGGAATTGAACAGGAATTCTGGTAAGTAAAAAAATTCTGGGATAAGTTCTTTTACATCCGCCATGTTGTGCTTTGATGCTGAATACCAGGCCTCACGCACACTGTGGAACATCCGATCTGCCAGGTCAAAGTGGCCACCCTGTGGGCAGAAGGAGGAGGCACCCCTCTGTTAGGGAGTCATTCTCACATCGACATTTCTTGAAAACCTCAAAAAATGGTTGGTGACATCCCATTCTCACAGTTCTACATTAAGTATGCAAAATCTTAAATGATTAAAAAATTTAATTCTCCTAGCATACCCTTACAAAAGATGACCTATTTCATAATCAAAGTAAAATCAAAATAGAAAGTTGTAAAAATTCATTTAAAATAGTTGTTAGGGACAGTGAGGAAATATGAATTTTTCCAATTTGATGATGCCCTCCTAAATAAAGATTCTAATGGAAACCATATATAATAAGAACTAGTCAAATTGTTATACATAAATACATTGGCCAATTTTATAAATTAAAAAAAGTATTTCAATTTTATTTATTTTTTTGGTCTTTTGAGATGGGTCACCCTGTAGCCCTAGCTGGCCGGGAACTAGCTATGTAGACTAGGTTGGCCTTGAACTCACAGAGATCTACACCTGCCTCTGCCTCCTGAGTGTTCAATTTTATTTTTACATTAGCTTATAGAGTAACCATTTTCCATATTGGATATACATATTTATTTTGGTTGATTGCCCACCCCCTCTCCTCAGTCTATTCTATAAAGTAACATGAAAACTCAGCTTTTACACTAATGAGGGCTGAGTAGAAAGGTGATCAGAAGTTAAAGGTGGACAGAAGTTAGCGTAGAAGAGCATTTCTCTGCCAGCACAGCTCCCAGACCCCCACCTTCCTTTTCTCATCAAATTCCTGCCTGGGTTCATGCACACACAGCACTTGTTCACTGCGGGGAAATGCCAAAGCCCACCAATGGCTGCCAAGTCCTGTCCTGACCAGGCCCTTTCCTTCCTACCTCATCCCTGGTTTGTGACTGACTTTTCCATACCCTGGACAGCTTCCTTGCTGTTCCCCAGCCATGCACGCACACACCTGCCTCCCCTGCAAGCTCCACGCATGCTCAGGTACTGTCAGGTCCCCCCATCTCGCTTGGGCCCCTGTTTTGAACTGCCTCCACCCTCCACACACCCCACTCTTCCATCTCACTTTCTGGATCTGCATTTTCCTGATATGTTTGATCATATTCTAAAAACTTTAAAATCTACTCATTGTTTATGTTTGTGGCTTTCTTAACTAAAGTCTCAAAACTCCATATGCAAAGCTTTGTCTATATTCACTGTTGTCTTTCCAAACACCTAGAACAGGTCTAGCACAAGGGTGATATTCACTGATGTGTCCTGAATAAAGGAAAGAGAAGATGGAAGCAATCATAGCCATGAACACAGCAGAGGGACTCTAAACAATTTTAAACACCTGTTGAATCCAATCATGTAAGACTGGACTCCTATCTTTGGGTAAAACATTTAAAACTAAAGGATTCTGGCACTTGCTTATTCTAATTGAATTCTAGTTTATTCATCAATTTTGATCTGGCAGAATTCTACTTCAATCTGAATGGCTGACCTGTCACTACTAAAGCCTCAGAGGGTTTCTTTTATATAAGGCAAGAGAACACTTTTAAAAATGTGATAATTTTAAATGAAAACAGACTTGATCAGAATGATAAAATTTTCAGTTTTGAGTTTTACCTGAAGCCTTAAGAATATCTGTGTGAAAGGCTCCATTCTTACAAGGTATGAGGCCACGATCATGGCAGAGGAGTAGTGGGTCCCATAGTGGTAGGCTGGAGTCTCTCCTGTTCCAGACAATGGAAATGTCATTAAAAAAAAATGAGAAATACAAAAAGTAAAATTGGTATTAATCAATAGGTTTGGAATTCCTAGCAATTGTGACCGTGGAAGCTGGGACATTAAAGTAGTTGGCTACTGGCACTGGCAGCACGGAAACCATGGTACCACTGTCCCTCACCTACTATCCCGCAGTAACCCAGAGTAACTCTGTCAGCTGCTCCCCAAAGCCTAGCATATCTGCCAGTGAACTGTTTGAAGTTCACTGTTACACACTGACACAGTTAACCCTTACTAGCAAGCCATCTTCCACTAAAGCAGAACACTGACTTATGCCTGCTCTTTTAAAAAGTAGATTATGGGGCTGGAGAGTTGGCTCAGTGGTTAAGAGCACTAGTTGCTCTTGCAAAGGACCCAGGTTTGATTCCCAGCAGCCACATGGCAGCTAACAACCATCCTAATTCTAGTTCCAGGGGATATGATGCCTTCTTCTGACCTCTGCAGGCATTGCATGACATGGGTGCGCTTACATATGTGCAAGCAATACATGCATACACATAAAATAAAATTTAAAAACTTTAAAAAGTTATGGTTTTATAATTATATATTTCTCTAAATCATTGTCTATCAATATAATGTAATAGTCTATCTTTTTATTACATATTAACTTGGCAGAAGAGGTGAGGAGAGGGCGTGCAAGAGAAAATGTACACAGGAATACTCAAAATTTCCTTCCATTTTGCTTCATGTATTTGAGGGAGGGAAACAATAGCTATTAAATACAATAATATAAACTGCACAGTTTACAAATGCCATCATTCATGTTTTTAAATGGGAAAGGATTTCAAAAAGAAAATTAAAAAGACCCAATGCATGAATGGGTAGTTCTCAGACTAAATATGATTAGAGACCCAGGCAGATTATGAGGGGAGGTTTCTGTCACAGATAGCACAGACACAATAAGTCTTCTGCCAGTACACTGAAGAGATAGCTACAAATGTCTTACAGAGAGGGCCAAAAATTTGCATGCAAAATCTGATTTTTCTACTGTAATAACCCACATGTAGGTGCGCACATATAATATACAGACATGACATATCAGTGACTTGAAGAGGTTTGCAAAGTTGCCAGACCACCAAACTGAAATACAAAGGCCAATAGCAGAAGCTCCGTACCATTAGGGTCCTCCCAGTCTTTGTACCGCTTCTTGTACTGGGCCAGTCGTTCATCTGTCTGTGCTCCCATTGGCTTAGCCAGGTTTCTAAATGTCTTGGGATTAGTAAGATCAACCTCCTGAAATGTAAAACAAAACCCAGCACAAGTTATCAGACACCCTCTACTCTCCCTAGTGTAGATGCTGTGGGTGTAATTTACAGGAATAGCATCTGTGGATTGGAGCAGGCAGAAACTGACTCCAAAACAATGCAATATGCAGAATGTCTATCTACACCTTACATTCAGGCACACCGAAGATTGGTAAGTGGCACAGTTTGAAGACAACTCAGGATCTAGGTTTTAGGGAGGAAGCATAACAGGAAAAATGCTTCCAGTTCTCAGAAGAATCTAGCAGCAGGCCATGGCAGACACACAAGGTCTCGTTCAACATTATTCCCCTCATTCCTATGACTGGAGGACTGAATCTTTCTATGCTTCCCCCTGCCCCCTCCAAATTCCTTCCAACTTCATTCCTGAGCACTTTCTTCTTGTAGGTGTTTTGAAGATGAAATAAATTAACACCCAGTAACCAGTTCATTATACTGTATTAAGTGACTTCCATATTCAATGAATTCTTTCAGTTCAATACTGGTTTTATTATAAAAGTTCATCTCTAGTCAACCTTCACATATTCAAAAGAAAACCAAAATTTACTCCCTTAGATGTTTTAAAAGTAGAAATTTGAAATATGTGCCTGTGGAATGTTATGTTCTTTTCATAGGGCATCATGACTGAACAACTTTGCCAAACATATTTTAAAAGTTTTAGGCACAAGAAACGAATCCAAATAATGAATATAATAAGCTTACTTACTGCATTTGTCCTGGCTAAGTACCAATCTTTGTTCGAGAAATTGGGATTTAAGAGATCTGTAAGGAGTCTCTGTGCTCGGGACCTCAAAATCTAGTAGGGTCAGACAAATATGAGCATACTACGTTGTAAACAAAAGTGGCATGATTAAAAGGGAAAAAGAACCATGACACAGAGCTGATGCCGAATGGGAATAAAAGCAGACAGGAGAGGAGAACAGAGGCTTCCCATCAGAGGTGGTGTTTGTGTGTGACTCCAAAGATGCAGGGAAGCTAGCCAGGTAGACAGAACTGTGAAAGACAGATTCTGGAATTCCAGGCAGGGCGGAACACATGATAAAAGCTATTGAGGAAGAAGAGGGAGCTGGGCATTTCTCTGAGTAATTGTAAATAGGGGATTGTTGGGGACCCCTGCTGTTTAGGGTAGCAGTCTCCCCATGTCCGGATAGACACAAGCTGGCTCGTCGTGATTGGGGAAACTCCTCTTCTCAGCGGGGCGCCTTCTGCTCTCCTCCCTGACTTACTTTTGAAATGCCCCGTCACAAGATACATGCCCTCCGGCACAGATACATGCCCTCCAGCACAGGAGCTACCAGGTTTTAATCAGGCGTTGTTTGATAGCCTGATAGAAGCCCACTGCCCTATGTAAATGAGGCATCCTAAAAGTACCTATCAGCTAAGGCTTTTACCACTACACCCACAGTATAAAATATCCTGGTTTTCCCCAATTAATCGGAGCTGGATCACTAAGACTTGGAGCCGAACTGAGTCACTGAATAAAGGGGCTGTACCACTGACTGAGCTGAGTTCTGTGTCTTACTGCCTACGATCCAGCCATCTACTCTCGGAAATCCAGCTTCAGCCCTCCCGCACCTCTCCTTGTGACCCGGCAGCTGACGGAACTCGACCAGGCCAGCCCCGGTGGGCCAGCCCTGGTAGCAGAGACCCACAGAGATGCGGAGAAGCAGGGACCCGCCAGCAACGCGGAGAGCAGACAAGCCGGGACCCGCCGCTTCCCAGGTGCGCGCAGGAGACTGGCGCCACCCCTAGCAGCTGGCGCCCTGAGATCCCCGCAGGCCCATAGGGGATAGGTCAATGAAACCTGTGTTTCTGGAAGCTAGTTATGGTATGGAGAGCCATGCAGGGGAGAAAGAGGAGGAATGCAGTCAAAAGCCTGGGCCAATGGTCTAGTGAGAGGCTCCGGGACTGAAGCGATCTTGGCAAAGCTGATGAAGAAGGACCGTAGAAGGGTATTTAGAGGTAGGTGGGCCTTGGGCACTAACAGGGCAGTATGGAGAGTGCTGCCATTTCCTAAGATGGGCTATAGTGAGGGCCGCAACTGTCAAGAGAATGAAATAGAAGACCGAAGGTTCAGTAATAGTATGCAATGCTCCTGTCCTGTACGACACACACTGACATCCATGATGCTGTGGTCCCTTATTCCTTCCTTGCAAAAATGCATTGATTTTGGATTTCCTGATACTTTCTATAGGTTAACTTAAAGGAAGAATATTTTCATTTTGTGAGCCTTTCTTTCTGAACTCCTTGTAAGATGCATTCGTTCACCCAAATGTAAATTAGGTATACAGATTCACACAAGTGTACTTAGTCACGCCTGCACCGATAGGGTCCATTTTCTATTCTTTATTAAAATAAACTAATATTTTCTCGTGACCAGAACTTCATTTTTCTTCATAGTTAGATGGTGCATAAAATGCCTGTGGATTCAACATCTCTAATGAGAGACAAAGTCCAATGAATTTTTTTTTTTTTTTTTTTCTTTTTGAGACAGTCTCCCTGTAGCCCCAGCTGTCCTGGAACTCAGCATGTAGACCAGGCTGGCCTTGAACTCACAGAGATCCGCCTGCCTCCTGAGTGCTGGGATTAAAGGCGTGCGCCACCATGCCTGGCCCAATGAAATTTTTAATTTTGAAAGTGACTAATCTTTTTCTGGTTGTTGTTTATGAAGGGCCAAGTTTCTCTTGTTTTACTGAATCCTGGTTCTTAGGAACTAATCTCACCTCTATCATCAGTAATAAGGCAGAGAGGGGAGAGAATATACGTGCGGTATGCTGTTATTTTGATGCCCAAGCATGATAGAGATATTCAGCTCTGAGAAACCTCCTTATGTGTCTCAGAAAAGTATGAGAATTTTTTAGGTGACAGTAATATTTCATGGAAAGGGTCACTTAACATTTCTTTCTAGCAAACAATTCCAACTGCAAAGATGGTTTCTGATGCTTATGAATGGATGCAAACTGATCAGCACTAAAGGAAACTGAAAGGGATTGTGAGTTAGTTGCCAATACCCAGTGAGGGACTGAACTATCTAATCTTTGTATATGTCCAAGCTCAGTCTCTTTCGGTTTTCATTACATAAAGCACCAATGAGCATTAGAGAACATTAAACTGCAGGGCAAATACATGGGAACTTGAAATAGTTTTTGTTTTTGAAAATGTATTACCCTGGGTCACATGAATTGAGGTTTACCTCTGAGTCGTAGTCTGCAAGGATCCAGGGGAAGACAGGGTACTGCATGAGGTCATTGTAGGATCTACCCGCCAGAGTGTTCAAGTGCATCAAGTACTGGAAGTTGCTGATTTCACCTCTCTTAGGAAAGATAATAAAGATACAGCTTAGAGTAATCAATTGTTTCTGCTGTTGAAAAAAAATTTATATGCAAAATGGACATTTTTAAAAATAAAGATTTTAGAACAACAAAACACCATTTCCCCCATTTAAAAAACAAAAAATGAAAAAAATAATCTTTTCTCTATGATATACATTTTAGGCACTATGAAAGTGCTTCTGATCATATAAGTGCTTCTTGACTTATAAGTTGCTAAAGAAGATTCTATTCGTATTATGCTTACCTCCCATCTCTGAGTCACAGATTTTTCTCCAACCAAAGTACTAAGCAATCCAGATCTAAAAAAAATACAAGAGCATTTGGAGAATACAAATTAAACTTGAAATACAAATTAGGCCTTTAAAAAAAGAAAGATAATAATAAAGACCATAAAGTGGGGGTGAGTAATAGGGTGGGGGTAGAGATGGGGGAGGGGAGCCTGAATATGTTCAAAATACATTATATGGCCAGGCACGATGGTGCATGCCATTGATTTCAGCATTCAGGAGGCAGAGGCTGGTGGACCTCTGTGAGATCCTGTTATAATGAGATCCTGTCTTAAATCAAAACAAGATGACATTACATAAAATTCTCTAAGAATCAATAAAAATATTTAAAAATATAGAATAAATTATAGGTAACACGGTTTTAAATCTGAGAAGCACTACAGTTGAAAAGTTTAAGTCACCTGGTCCACAAGATATTTCGGACCACAGAGGACCTGTTAGTGGGGGTCATGAAATCACTTTAGAGGACAGTTGATGAACTCGTTGAAATGTGAAATATCTGAACCAAAAGAAAATGGAGACTCAGAAGGCATCTCATAAACTAATGGAAGGTATTTTCTGTGAACTGTTTCACTTTTTATGATTCAGTTGTCTGTCCTGGGATGTAATGTATTTGTGTCATTGTTGGTCATGGTTTAAAGACCTGGAAAAACACAGATCCACCCCAACTTTCCAATGTTCACTATAATCCCTATGCAAACAGACCCAAAGATATTTAGCAGAAGAAATGAAACACGCAATAATTTGCACATGGTGGGTATATATGATCTCCTAGACCAGATACTGAATAAGTAATTGAAAATATGAAAATGTATATTGTCACTCAGTTCATTACAAAATTTATATACTACTTTTAGGGTAGTACACCTCATTAGAATATTATAAAATCCTATTTAAGAGTTATAAGCTTTATAAAAGTGATAATTTATAATTGGTCAAAGGATTGTGAGGAAAGTATTTATTACTTTACTATCTGAGAGAGAACCAATAGATCTAGATGTCTTTGGTGGTAAACACACTTCGCTCAGTAGTACAAGTACCATTTCCATTTCTATATAAATTCCTTTAACTGTGCAAACTGAATATGCAATATACACTGGTAAATACATCTAGCTCAGTCATACAAGCACATTTCCATTTCTCTATAAACTCCTTCAATCGAGCAAACTGAATATACAATATACCCTCTTTCGGAAAACAGCTAGGAACACTTCTCAGCTTTGTAAGAGAGAAGACAACTGAAAAAGGAAGACTAAAGTTAGAAACACATTTCTGCTGGTTGCCTTGAAATGGTAAATGCTCCTTAAGAACTGCAACTTGGCAAAGACAGCAAGCATGATGGAACATCAAATTTGAGATGACTGAGGCAGGTAAAAGTGCTAGCAATCTGCTTATAAGGAAAAAGGTTTAAGGAAACTTTTCACTTTGTATTTATATTAATAGGACAAATTATTTGGAACTTCTAGAACATGTCTCTGAGGTTAACAAAAGCATATATTAGCATTTTTTTAATCTGCTAACAATGATATTTTGATGCACACAGATTGGAACAAAATTTAATTTATAAAGGACAGAATCTCTACTAAGTTTTAATGTCTTTTTGGTGTGCTTTATAACAGTTAAATTGTACTCTCAAAACTCTGCTTCCTTCCTAGTGGAATGTCACTGAGTGACTGTAAACAGTGCAGGTTATATGCAGCCTTAAAATACTGTCTAACCCAGAACCTTCTAAGATTAAAAGAAGCTGTAAGAGGAACCACTGATGGGCTTCTGTGCAGAAAAAGAGAATGAAAGGGAAAGGAAGGCTGGGCAACTGAAAACAAACAGAAGAGAAATAAATACCTCACCACAGAGAAATCTCCTGTAAGGAACACACTACCTACCCTTGTTCCACGCTGGTATTCGGTCTCTGCCCAGAGACAGACTCCGAGCTGTCAGTGAGAGATGGTACCACTGCCAAAAACCTAGGAAATTGAAAATGAAGTCTCAGTAGGGACCTACTAGAAGCTCAAACAAAGATGATTCATTATGTCTTTTTTAAAATTTTATTTTTTATTTTATATGTATGTGTGTATTGCTTGCACATAGGTAAGTGCACCCGTGTCACGCCCATGGAGGTCAGAAGAGGCTGTCGGATCCCCAGGGACTGGAGTTGCAGGCAGTTGTTAGCTGCCATGTAGGTGCTGGGATCTGAACCCGGGTCTTCTGCAAGAACAGCCAGTGTTCTTAACCGCTGAGCCATCTCTCCAGCCCCTAAACTTTTTTTTTAAATTTTATTTATTTTTTTTATTCATTACGTCTTTATTGTTGCATGACCTTCCCATTAACCAGAAAATGGCAGACAGAGAATACATACTAGAACACTAAACAGAAAAGCCTATAGTGTAATCCTGCTTTGTACCTTTACCTAGTCTGTTACAAGTGAGTATGGGGCTTGGGGAGGGGCTTTGAAACACAGATCTTCGGGAACTGAGTCAGCCAATGAAGTCCTAACGAGTGATTCCAGCGAGTTATTTGAGAGCAGGCAAGACAACAGCTGAACAGATGCTAGAACACAGACTTCACCAAAGGAATGAAGAGACATTTAAGATACAACTTTTATGTGACAGTGTCAGGAGCTGTTTTTAGAGTTGATCCTGATGTCAATTTATAAATGTTTTAAATGCAAAAAAGTATTGAGGGAAAATTCCCAGAATAGATATTGACCTTGAAGTTGGCATATTCACAGAAATTTCTCAGAGAAAGACAAACTCATTTCTTCACAGCAACCTGCAGTTAGGAAGAACAAGTTATTTCCTGATGCTGACCAGTACTACCTTTAGAAACTGGTAAGTCATATGAGGAAAGGTGAACTTTGGTCACTTTCCTACCTCCTGTCACATGGGAGAGGAGTCTGGGGTTACTGGTCAGCACATCCAGGGTCTGCATTGAAGGACACCTCATTTTACAAGTGCTCACAGACATTACGGTAGTGTATCATTATTTACAGCTTTGCTTTCTGCAGTTTCCATTACCTTTGGCAAACTGGTCAAAAATATTGAATGGAAAATTCCAGAAATCAATAATTCATGTTTTAGATAACTTTTATTATAATATATTACTATAGTTTTTCCAACTTATTTTTGTTGTTCTAAGTCAAGCTTTGAGATAGATGTATAGATGGGCTACAAGCAACCTATGTACAGATTTGGTACTACCTGCAGTTTCTGGTCTCTTGAGGATCATCTTGGCAGGCAGCCACCATGGACAGGGGACTGATGCAGTGATACGCTGTATGGCACTATTTATTCCTCACGAAAATAAGCACACAACTCCTAATAGCAAAGGAATGGCCAGGAACTACAGCACCCTTCAGCGAATAAGGGCAGGGCTCTCATCTCTGTGATCAGTTGTGCAAAGCCTTACTAGTCACATGTCTAACAGAAATTCCTTCAAGCACCAGGAGTACATACTATTTTAGATACGTTCACCAATAATAAAGTATGCTTAGATTGGAACAATAGTTTTAATTAGCTATGCTCCTTTTTCCTGAATGAAGATATCCAACTTTCCTTCTAAGACCAGAGAGGAATACTATTTCTGAGGAACTCAGTTCTTGAACTCCATAGTAAGGAATGGGATTGTCTCCATTTTGATATGGAGGAAGAGGGAGCTTTTTGAACCTAAAGTATTATTTTAAAAACTATTTATTTTATTATTATGTGTGTATGTATGTATGTGAGGGTGAATGCACATACAATGGTTGTGTGTGTGGAGGGTCAGAGGACAACCCTGTGGGGTTTGTTCTCTCCTTTTACTTTTGATGGGTTCTGGGGATTGAACCGAAGTCATCAGGCTTTGGCAGCAAGTACCTTTACAAGCCTGAGCCATCTCACCAGCCCATTGAAATTTTACTTTTGCTTTTGGTTTTTGTATGTTTGTTTTTTGAGACAGGGTCTCTCTGTAGCCCCAGCTAGACTGGAATTCTCTATATAAACCAGGCTGGCCCAACCTCACAGAGATCCATTTGCCTCTGCCTCCTGAGTGCAGGGATTAAAGGCGTGCATCACCACGACTGGCTGAAATATTACCCTTTAGGTGACAGTTTCTTTCTCCTATACTTTGAGATAAAAGTAGTTTTCTCCTATATTTTGAGATAAAAGTAGCTTTTGATGGTTTCTATCAAATTACCAGTAGGAAAAAAAAGGTGATTTCATTAGAGAATTGGCATCATTCTCAAGTCTAGTTAGATGGATCCTATTTCAAGAGGCTGGGGAAAATGAAACAAACACCTCTTCAAAGATGCTGACTTAGTGTCTAAATTCTGGATTTTAAGCAACTAGCTGACGAGGCTGGGGTCCCCCAACTCCCATCTCTTCCCATAATACTGTATAAGAAATTACTAATGAACAAGACCTTTGGTAGACTTTATTCCGAATTCCCTTCTGAAAAGCAAGGAGGTAATTCCGGCCATCTCCAGAGAAAACTTCAACAGCAATAGGCTGAAATGATCAGAGAGAAAAACATTAAGATGAAACAGAAGATCATAAGTTCACATATTAACTTTTCTACTATGAATATCTACCATATTGAAGAATTTCTTGACTGAAGAATATTTTGGAATTCTCTAATTTTTCTTCCTCAGTTTTTATTAGTTCTTTGAGACATCATAAAGAACTAATGACTTATGGTCATAAACCATGCAATAAAATAATTTTTTTTTTATGAAATTATGTTTCTACTAATTATATCATTTTAGTAGACTACTAAAATGATATAATTTTATTTTTAAAAATATTTTAATTTTAATTTTTAATTTTATGTGTATGAGTGTATTGCCTGTATGTGGGTTGGTGCACCCATGTGCAATGCCTGTAGAGGTCAGAGGAGGGTGTTGGATCCCCTGAAACTGAAGTTCAGGCAGTTGTTAGCTGTCATGTGGGTGCTGGGAATCGAACCTGGGTCCTCTGCAAGATCAACCAGTTATCTTAACCGCTGAGCCATTTCTCTAGCACCTGTTATTTTATTTATATGTTGACTTAGAAAGCTATACAGAGGTTTCAATAGTGAAGGTACTGTTCAAATTCTAGGCAGAGTTTAACAAAATGGAGATGCGTTCTACATCTCTGTGCACTCCTGGGATCTGTGTTCTCTAGAGGATAACACAGATGCTACAGAGGGTTTTTATGACATGTACCCATTTTAAAATAGGACATTTTCTGAACAGAAGAATAGCATGATGAACTTCATACAAGGACATCAACACACCTGCAGGAGATACCTCCGCTTATGAACCTCCTTGATATCCTCATAAGCAAAAATGCTGCATGTTCTCTTGAGTTGACTGGGGCCTTGTCTGGCTCCTCTAGGGATAATTGGCTCATGCATACTGTTGGTAGGCACAAAAAGGAAATAAACAGAAACACAAGAAGAGATAAAGTCCCTGTTCAACAAAGGAAATGCAATTTTTAACATAAGACTAGAAGATACAATGTATCAGAATTTTCATTTAAAAATGTGATTAAGAGAATAATCTGTCAGCTGTCGAGCACACAAGGACTTCCTTTGATGGATACAATTAAAAATTTCACTGTTGTCAGGACCAGCTTTTCTATCAAACAGATGCTGGCACAGAGATAGACCAACAAACTTCTGGGATCCCCCAGAAGGTTTTACTTTTTTCAAAATCAGAAGAAAAAGACTACACTAGAAGAAAACATTTTAATATATACCTAGCTTTATACTGAGTCACAAAACATAATTTTTAAATTTTTTCAAGAATCACAAAATATGATTTTTAATTTTTTTCTTTAACATGGAAGAAAGGTTCATGAAAATCATAATGTGGCTCTGACTGCTGAAGGAAGTAAATATTTGAATTATCTCCTCGGAGTGAGATAGAGAGACCTATCTGTATCAGCAGTGCTAGGTATTCAAAATGAGAAAGAAGAGAGAAAGGCCAGTGGTCGTGTGTCTTCTGAGTTTTCCATTACTGACAATCACTCCACCCTAGGACTGGGAGAAGGGAAGGAAGAGTGGGATTCAATTACACCACTTCTAGGAGAGTCAAAGTACATAGCAACATTCCTTCATTAAGAGTATTGTGTAGCAACCTGCATGTTTCTCTACAACTCTGTGTATGTGGTATATATGCAAGTGTACACAGGGGCATGGAAGCTAGGGGATGACATCAGGTGTCCAACTCTATTGCACTCTGCTTTATTCCTTTGAGATGGTCTCTCACTGGACCTGGAGCTAGGCTGGCAGCCAATAAGCCCCAGTGAAACTTCTGTCTCTGCCTATAGGGGTTACAGGTGCATGTGTGGCCACACCCAGCTTTTTATGAATGTACGGGATCCAAACTCAGGCCCTCATGCTTGTGTAGCAAATGTTCTTATCCTGAGTCATCCCTCCAGCCTTTATATTGATATTTTTTAAACCGCTTTTATAGACTCATAATGCACATATACATGACTGTATAATGGTTAAACTACTCTGTATATAATGCTAATGATATAAAGAAATAAAATCCTGTTTTCATTTTGATAAATAAGCATTTTTTTCTTAGTACACTGAAATGACAATATTGTACTTAAGAATATGTAATGACAGGCACACACGAAACTGAGAGATAGTATTACTTAAAACGTAGGTTTTGTATTAAAAAAGAAAAAATGCAAATATGTTTTATTTCATCTAAAGACAGTTTTTCTTTGTGTTTCTACATTCATTTACTTACTTTGGAGGTAAAGTTTCAATATCTCTTATTTCCCTGGTTGCTGTCATGGTAAATCCATCAATCACATAAAAATGCTCTTTACCAAAAAGAAGCAGGCCCTCACTGGTGTCCAGGCCCTGGACTCGGGCACAGCGGTACATGTGTTGAATCTACAAAGAAAAGTCACAAATATTCTTTAATGAACTTTTTTAAAAGTTCAGATCTTTTTTTTAGGGAACAAAGGGATTTATTGGGCTTCCTAACAGAGCATAGGATGGCAGTAAGGGGGCACTTACAAAGGTGTGGGCACCATTGGGCTTTTTTCCTATTCTGGCTGTGGCTTCCTGACCTGCTGCTGCCAGTCCAAGATGGCAGAGCACAACCCATCTCTCTCAGATCTTTTTTTAAATGAACTTTTAAAAAGTTCAATCTTTCTTTTCTGTTACGGTTTCAGTAAGCCCTGTGCTAAGCATACTGAACTCAGTTCAAGCATGTCTAAAATGAGTTTACGTGAAATCTGTTTGAAGATGCCTTTGGTAATAGCAGTCAACCATTACCCATATCATCAATCCAGCCTGCACCCCACCTAGGGCCCTACCTACTACAATGCCAGGCACATGTGTGCTTGGATTGGTAAGTGAGGAATGAGTTAACTGAGGCTCCTGCTGTCACGGGGGCACAGATATAAGCTTGGCAGGACAGGGGTTTGAGGCATTCATTCAAGGAGATTAAACGACAAGATGACACACTGTGAAAAAGCTCTGCCAGGCTTCTGAGCTCTGGGCAAGTTTCCAGCCTGCTGCTAAATTCCCTGTAGATTTCACCAGGGTTCTCAAATTCTCTGAGCCTCTGCTTTCATGTGTTTGTTCCTAATCTAAATCATGGGCTTGTTGTGAGACTTAAACGAGGCAAGCGGTATCACCACATTAGAACCGCCAGCAGTCTTCTCTTCCACAGAGCTCACTGTCTTATATGACCCTCCCTGGAACTCAATGATGGGACAAGTCCCTCTCCCTGCACCTGACCTCTGCCTCGGGAACAGTCTGTTAGGACACTGTGAAAAGACAAGCTTGGCCGAAGCACTATTTCCTCATAGGAGAACAGGTTATTAAATCTCTCAATGTGAGTATTGTTTTCTTTTCAAAAGTTAAGTAGCTAATTCTTAGCAAAAGTTCTTTCTTGCTTCAACTCACTTCAACACAAGTCAAAGGGAAAAAAATCAGCAAGTAAATCAGGGTCAAACAAATGCCAAATGAACGTCAGTTTGAATACAGTTCCTGTACCATTCTAACAAAGTGATTACAGAGAAGACGTACTCAGGAGAATAAACGTTTGAAAAACGAAAATAAAATACAATGCTGGTGACTAGAGATTGTGGGGACAGGATTAGAAAATGAAAGATGAGGGCTGGAGAGATGGCTCAGTGGTTAAGAACACTGGTTGTTCTTGCAGAAGACCCAGGTTCGAATCCCAGCACCCACATGGCAGCTAACACCTGTTCATAACTCCAGCCCCAGGGGATCCGACAGCCTCTTCTGACCTCCGCGGGCATCGCATGACACAGGTGCACTTACCTACATGCAGGCAATACATGCATACACATTAAAAAAAAGAAAGAAAGAAAAAAAAGAAAAGGAAAGATGTTTATCAAAGGGTACAAAGTATTTTTTTAAATTAAATTCTTTTTTTGGCCTTTTTTTTTTTTTGAGACAAGATTTCCGTGTAGCCCCAGCTGGCCTGGAACTCACTATGTAGACTGCCTGGTCCAGGCTGGCCTTGAATTCATAGAGATCTGCCTGCTTCTGCCTCCTAAGTGCTGGGATCAAAGGTGTGCGCCACCATACCTGGCTGGGTACAAAGTTTTATGTAGAGTAGAGGTAAGTTTTAGTGATGTATTAACTTCCTTGCTATAAAACACTGATGAGAGGATGAGTAAATTAATTAGCTTGACCGAATATGTTTATAGATCAGAGCTATTATCATATTATACCCTTAAGATGTATACAATTATTTGTCAACTGGAAATAAAATTTAAAAGATAAAAATTAAGATAAAAGCATTAATAAGTTTTATCAAATATCTAAGTATGAGTCAATTTTCACTGCTGTTTGAATCACGTCAAAAATAAAAGAGGACACTGATGGTAAGAAAATCTAGGCATACTTAAAATTTTTTTATCTTTTTGAAACATGGCCTCATGTATCCAAGGCTAGTCTCAAACTGCCTAGGTAGCCATAGAAGACCTTCGACTCCTGATCCTATTGCCTCTACCTTCTGAATATTAGGATTATAGGTCTGCACCAGTACAGTTGACCTATGATGTGCTAGGGATCTAGCCCAGGACTTCATGTGTGCTAGGCAAACACTCTACCGACTTAGCTAACAGCACAGACCCCACCCCAGCTAAACTTAAAAAATTTTGTTCTGTGGTGCTGGGGATAAAACCTAGGCTTTGGGGCTAGAGAGTTGGCTCAGTGGTTAAAAACACTGGATGCTCTTGCAGAGAACCGGGTTTGATTCTCAGTACTCAAATGATGGCTGACAACCATCCATAAACCCAGTTCCAGGGGATCCGAAGCCCTCTTCTGACCTTGGTGCAATTACATGCATGCAGACAATACATTCATACACATAAAATAAAAATAATAAAATATTAAAAAAACCCAGGCTTCATAATGTGAGATACACATTTTACCACTGAGCTCTGCTAAGTCACTGAGTAAGTCAACCTGACTTACTTTTAAAATAACTATTGTAATGCAATATGGGGGAAGGGAAGGAGGAAGATAGAGAGGCTGGCATCATAAGGCTATAGCTTGCAAAGGTTTCAAATGCTAAAAACTAGTGAGATAGCATCGGAGAAGACATGGACCACAGGAGTCAGTCTCTCTCTCTCTCTCTCTCTCTCTCTCTCTCTCTCTCTCTCTCTCTGTCAAGCTCCTTTCTGAATAGATGCAGTTTCATAGTTACACGACTTTTTATAATTTCACTCAGAATTATGCAGGGCATATTATCTGAACAGAATTATTTTAATTACACACCAGCTTCTTATTACTATGTCCTGAAGTAGGATTGATCTTAAGGGTTAAATCAAGAGCTAATGTGAATAGGCAAAAATAAAGACAGCATTTTAGAGTGATACTCAATATACAGTAACTTCCCTCTTTTCTTCCTTCCTTTTACCCTTCCTTCTTTCCTTCCTATAGCTATTTACTCTGTCACTGAAAGCTGTGTGATTGGAATCATTGTACTCATATAAGGCAATGGGATATGAAGACACAGTGCTGCTTATAAGCAGCAGTCAGGGGAAGAGACAATACCTTCTCCTTCCTAGGTCTTGAGAACAAATGACTTTGACAAGAGACCCACAGGCAGTATAAAAGCATAGAGGGAGGGCCTTCTAACCAAGACTGAGAGGGCAAGACAGACAGAAAGGCTCCCACCACGTGAGAATTACAGACTTCCAGATAAATAGGCACACAGGAGTTATCAGGCTAGAGGTGATGCAAGCAAAGGGGAAGGGGTATTTTGTCAGAAAAAGCAGTATGAGTAAAGTACAGAGCTAAAAAACACACTGGCTGCAATGAGCTGAATGCAACAAGCATGATGCTGCAGGTGCTCAGGACCTAGGAGGGAGAAGGCATCATGGTTTTTGGTGAGTGAAGAACAGGGCTTAGATACAAGGCTGGAGTTGAAAATCTGTTATATGTATGTGGTAACTAGAGTTATGGAGATGTAAAACAAACCCAGCAAGGCCAACATAACTAAAAGGCTTATCTACAGAGACTTGAAAGAGAATTCTAAGAGCTGTGGTCTAACAATGGGTGTCGCAGAAGAGTGAATTAGGTGCCAATTGTTAACCTAATATCTGATGAAACTTTCTACTGTTTAGTTTCTAGAGATCAGAAAACCCTCAACCATAAGGGAAGTAGAGTGAGGAATCACAAAGTTCTTTTCTACTGTATTACAGAGGCTAAAATCTTTATCTTAGAAACTCTCCCACCCTGTCTTATAGTGTTACTTAAAAACAACCCTCATACATCGAAGCACAGTACCTTTTCTCCTTCCTCTAACAGGCGCAGCAAGGTGGCATTGTCTGTTTTCTCTTCTTCTTCTATGGAGCTGCTCTCAGCAATCTGGTCTTGGAGCTGCTCCTGAGTCTCCTCATCTCCTCCATCAGGTGCAGACCGAGAGCGTTTCAGAGGAGGCTTGACCAGGCCTAAGGTACAGAAACCAACAGGGTCACATGACACTGTAGCGGCCATGTGGGAACAGTTCAGCTTCATGAGTCGACTATAATTTAGGTGGCCCACTGGTCTGGTACCAGTGGCTGGTGGAAGAGCGGGGGGTAGGGGGGATTCTTTTAAGAGGTGGGACCTACTGGGAGCAAATTAGGCTATGGGGAGATGAGCTCTTGAGAGCTGGGATATTTAGATCCCAGCCCCTTCCTGTCTGTCTGTCTGTCTCGTGGCTGACAGAGGTAAGCAGCTCTGCTTTCCCATGTGGGTCCTGTTCCCTTGCCATAGACCCCAAACCAATGGGAACAGCCAACCATGTGCTGAGGCCTCTTAATCCATGCACCCAAATAAACTTTCTAAAAAAATGTTTTTGATTTATTCTTATTTTATGTGAATGAGTGTTATACCTGCATGTATATAAATGAACCCATATTGTGCATTGTCCATGGAGGTCAGAAGATGGTGTCAGATCTCCTAGAACTGGAGTTATGGATGGTTGTTAGCTGCCATGGGGGTGCTGGGATTTGAACCTGAGTCCTCTGCAAGAGCAGTCAGTGCTCTTAATCGTTAAGCCACCTCTCCCCCCACTACCAAATAAACTCTCTATAAGTTGACTGCTCTTAGGGATTTGTCACAGCAGCAAAAAGCTAACTAGTGCATAGTCCCTTTTGTACATTTCCAATGAGAAAATTCTACAAGGTACGGGGGCAGCATTATTCAGTGGTCAGCGGCAAAGGCTTGGGAGTGAAACAGCTTCAAAGTCTGGGGGAATTATTTGTCTTTTGTGAACCTTGGTTTTTCTCCTCTACAAAATTGGAGTAAGAATACTATCTACCTCAGAGAATTGTTGAAGGACTAAATGAAGTAATAAATACAAACTGCATAGGACCATTATTATACAGAGTAAATTCCCAGGAAAGTCAGATGATTGCAATAAACAGAGATCAGCATAACTAGTAGAAAGAATGTGCTGTTTATAGGTGGCACTGAGGAGATACTGTGAATGATCAATCACTGTTGCAAAGATAAAGGTAGCAACTTATAAACACATTTTAACTTACTTGGAGGGCTCATGGAGACTATTTCAAGCCTAATTTCAAGGGAGCAATATGGTTCTTTGTACATGAATGAACTTAGTCCAAACATCAGGTTAGAAGGAACAGGAATAGAACGTTTTTAATAACACAGGCACAAATCATTAATTTGAAGATTAATTAAGGAAATCTTTTACTGTTTATATTTGAATAACTTCATTAAAAATCACAGTAGAAAAAATTAAGTTCAATTGACGGCAGTAACCAGTGAGATCCTAAAATATTAGATGCTCTCAAAATGTACTCTAAAATCACATTTAATGACTTAATGTTCCTTAGTTGTACCATCAAAATTAATGTTATACATTGCTCTCAGAATTTTGGGAAAGTGTAAATGAGCCTATAAGAATCTTACCCATTGGACACTAGTGACCAGAGGCTTGGCTTTGCCTTGAGAAGAGATGAATGAGCATGATAAATAACCAGGAGAGATAAACACCTGCAGAGAACACCCACATGGAGAATAGCATACAGCTGCTCTGTCTTTGGTTAATGACTCAAAACTCCAATTCTATATCTAAAGTAACACCTCATCTATACTAGCAATTACCAATACAAATACCAATATTTGCGATTTTTTTAAGCTCAATTATAAATTAGATAAATAAGGCTAGAAGTTACAAACAAATGACCCAAACCCAAGTTATCTGACTAACTGTGGGTCACAGCTTGGCTTATACCTAGGAACCATGCTTTAAGCCAGCTCCACAGCAGTAATGGTGTAGTGTAAACAGAAGCGGAGGGTTTATCCTCTACTCTATTACAATTACACAATTCTGTGAAAATGTTGAGCTGTTGATGAAATGCTTAGTTAAGTTGGAAGTCATCAGGAGAGAGACAATATGTGTGTTTGAACACTAGGGAAAGTGATAATATTATAAGGTATTTTTCATTGACATGGTCACAACTGATGAGTTTTTTAATCCATTAGATTTCAAGCTTATTTTTATTAACAATTTTAATACTGAATATTAATCTACTCTTTTTTGTTATTTTATGTATCATTTTTATTTTATATGTATGAGTGCAATGCCTGCATGTATGTGAGTGCACCCGTGTCGTGAAATGCTGTGGCTGTGGAGGTCAGAAGAGGGCTTCCGATTCCCCTGGAACTGGAGTTAAGGACTGTTCATAGCCACCGTGTGTGTGCTGGGACTCGAACCCGGGTCCTCTGCAAGAGCAGTCAGTGCTCTTAACCTCTTAGCAATCTCTCCAGCCCCTAATCTACTCTTTTAATTTAGAACTTTTAGTTAAAAGCTCTTAATTTTAGCTAGGTGTGCTGGTACATACCTTTAATCCCAGTAAAGAAAGGCAGATCTTTGTAAGAGGACAGACTGGTTTACATAGCAAATTCCAGGCTAGCCAGAGCTACACAATGATGCTCATTGTCTCAAAATAACAACAAAAAGCTGGGCATGGTGGCACACACCTTCAATCCCAGCACTCAGGAGGCAGAGGCAGGTGGATCTCTGTGAATTCAAGGCTAGCCTGGTCTACATAAGTGAATTCTGGGCCAGCTGGTGCTGAAGGGAGACCCTGTCTCAAAAAGACCAAAAACAAACAAACAAAAAAGCCCAACAACAAAATGAAAACAAGAAACCCCAAGCAAAACAAAACAAACACACAAAAAGTTATTAACTTATACTCCAGGGCTTCATTTTTAGAAAATGCAAACATTTTTGAGTTGATGGTCAATCAGACACATTAAAAAAAGTGAAAAGCAGTAGATTGATTTACATATTCAACATTGATTGGACCCTTATTTTGTCCTAGGCATGTGCCAACAAAATGAGGTGAAAAGAAATACTATTTGACTGAGGCATTAGTACAGTTGGTAAAGTGCTCACCACACAAGTCAGGACCCACGTTTGATCCACAGCACATGCATAAAAAGCTGGATGTAGTGTTGTAAACATATAAAGCACTGAGGAGGGGCTGGAGAGGCTTAAGAGATGGCTCAGCGATTAAGAATTGTGGCTCCTCTTGCAGAGGACCTGGGTTCAGCTCCTCGCACCTACATGGTGGATGACAACCATTTATAACTCCTGAGGTTGACTTCTGGCTTCCAAATGCACACACACACATGTGTACTTGCACCTGCACATATGTGCACATGGGTATGCATGCATACACATGCACCATTAAAAAATATCTCTGGCACCAGGCATGGTGGCACACGCCTTTAATCCCGGCACTCAGGAGGCAGAGGCAGGTGGATCTCTGGGAGTTCGAGGTCAGCCTGGTCTCCATAGCGAATCTAGGCCAGCTGGGGCTACAGGGAGACCCTGTCTCAAAAGGACCAAAAAAAAAAAAAAATCTCTGGCTTTAAGAAAACTTACAAATTCAAAAGAAAAGATATACATGCCGGGCATGGTGGCATGAGCCTTTAATCCCAGGCAGAGGCAGGTGGATCTTGGTGAGATCAAGGCCACTCTGGTTCACATCATGACTTTCAGGCCAGCTGTGACCAGGAAGACCCTGTCAAAAAACAATCAACAACAAAACAAAACAAAATAAAGGAAAAGACATACAGCAGTGGGGAAAAAAAAAAATCAACTTGTATAAGAGAGGTAAGCCGCGTGCCATGTACAGGCAGGAGTCAGAGAGGGCTCAGAGTAATCCTATCCTAGATAGGATTTGCTAAAGCACAGCTCATACACACACTGCAGGAAGGGAGAGAAAGCACACATATGTAACACTATAGAATCAGAAAGCACATGGTTATTTTAATCAAATTCATCATCTACTTAGCTCTGGAAGTTGAGATTTGAGATGACTTCTCACAGCAATGGAAACAAAGGCCATTATTTTTTACTATTGGCTAATGTACCAATGATGCATTTATTAACTGTCTTAATTTTGTAATTATTTCTTAAGCTGCTTAAAAATCAGGTGTCACTGGGTGTTCTGCCAAATACAATAAAAAGTTATTAAGCCAATAAGCATATGACATTGGTATCCATCTATGGGGACGAGAGACAGTCTCTTCAGTTCGCATGCTGGAGCTTTAAGAAAGGTGCAGTGGTAATGCATGTATAGACACTGTTAAGGTTGGCCCTCCTGCTTACAGATGTGCATACTTTGGCAAAAAAATTATTTTATCTTATGTGTATGCATGTATTGCCTGCATGTATGTAAATGCATCCGTGTTATGCAATGCCTGTGAAGGAAAGAAGTCGTCAGATTCCCTGGAACTAGAGTTACAGACAGCTGTTAGTTGCCATGTGGGTGCTGGGATTTGAATCTGGGTCTTCTGCAAGAACAATCTGTGCTCCCAACTCTGAGTCATCTTTCCAGCATACTTTTATATAAAGTCATGTAGAAGGAATGCTCCAAAATGATTTTAAATCTAGATTAAAGAGTGAGGCTCACCTTTGACCTTGGCAATGGTGTCTTCACCGTGCTCTGGTTCTTGCTGGGTGGCTTCACCTTCTGAAGTCTCTACAATGGCATCCTGGACAATGGCTGGGTTGCCAGAGGCCAGGCGCATGTAGTATTCTTTACTGTCATAGCTTATGGCTCTTCTGTACCGAGCGGGTTTCTAAGAAATAACAAGAGAAAATGACTCAGTTTTCAACAACTGAAATGCAAGCTTCTTGAGGATAGGTATGTTGTCAAGAGTTCTCAGTGTTCCTAATTTTTAGGGGCTTTTCACAGACTATATGACTATACAGTAAATATACAGACTTCTGGGTTAAGTTGCTCCATTTAAAAAATCCGCAGTTTGTAAAAAGACAAAATTGAATAACATGAGCAGTTTCAGTCTTTCCCACACAGAAATAGACAATTTCTAACCAAACAATGTTCTGGAACTGCTGACCTCTCCAGGCAGTAGAGAAGAGCATGCCAACTGTGAGTGGCAGCAGGCTGCAACAAGGCCATCCAGTCTGGGGAGACTGAGCCCTGCATCAGCCCAACATAAAGAGAGTAGATCAGGCCTGAAGGATGTTCATTCGCTTGGGACATTCTGCAAGTGTTTACTTCAGATACTTGGAGGAAGAGAATCAGAACTACACTATTCCATCCTGCAGTCCCAGGTTCCCAGGTTGGAAATGGCCAACACCTTCAGCTTCTGCATCCTGACTCAACGCAGAAGACACACTCAACACTAGGTGGTGCTCTCTAGCTAGCCTGCAAGACAAGCCGGTACCTTCTGTTATTGTCTGGTACTGTCTGGTAACATAAAGGGTATATAGCAAACATATATAATTTAATCCTGATGAAGAAATTAATTACCTAAAAATATAATAAATGATCCAAAGTTCTGGCACACAATAGAAGAATATGTCTTTCACAAAATAATCTTTATTCTAAAAATAGGCTCTCCAACTGACCTAAACTTGTTTTCCTTCTTAAAATCATATATGAGGAGAAAGTTATGGCTAAAATGCCCTACAAGGTTTAAAACCATAAAGCAAAAATGTATATGTATGTAGACTGCTAAGATCAGAATTAGACTCAGATTTTGGATTAAATTTTTTTAAAAGATGGAATTTGAATATGCTTTAACTTCCTCTAATATTATTTCTCCTTTCCTATGAATAAAGATATTCAATAAAGAATCCCACTTTTTGCACACTATTCAAACTGATTTCCAATTAAAATAGAAAACAAGCACCCAACTGGGTGGAATATTTAGGCTGAAATACTTAACAAATGATCAAAAAAAGCTACCGAACGGAGGCTACTTTGCCCTTCTTTTAAATCCAGGGGCAGAACCAGGGACTGAGAGAGCTATAGGCAAACTCAGGAGGGCTATGCAGCAATGGGATGGAAAACATTACATGATACTGGGAAAGGTAGAAAATAATATTAAATAATGGGAAGTTCTAGCTGATGGGAAAACTAACAAAAACACTGCAATATTCTTTTAAAGTGAAAGAAAGATAAAAACTTAGAGCATAACAGTTGTTCTGCATGAAGCATAACAATCATATTAACTCGAAGTGGCTAAGCCTTTGTTAGACTGAAGGAAAAACAGGACACCACAAGGGGCAGCAGGCTAGGCAGTAACAGGAGTACCACCTGCCAAATTTATTTTAAAGGATGATGGCATAGTTAGTGATGGGCAAGACTATTAATAGATAGGGAACATTATCTACTTCATTATTGACTTCAGATATAAACTTGAACTTGGATTACAAGAAGTCTTCCCAAAATGTGTTGAGGTACATTTCTCCATCTATCCTGAATGTACCGAATCTTTCTGGAAAATAAAAACAATGAAAAACAAATACCCATTAAGAAATAAATTAAAATTGCACTTCAGAAAGTGATCATACATTTAGTTTTCATTAATGTCTTCTGATTGAAATGAATTTATTTTAAAATTATTTTAAAAGAATAATATTGAATTCTTGCTATTTAAAACAATTATGTGAATAATTGGGAAAAAAAAAAAGCCGAGGATGCCAGGCTGCCCATCACTAACGCCTTGCAGCTGGTTAGTTATGCATGAAGCAGTACACGTGGAATACAGTCATGGACACCCGCCTGTTAGTGAGCAGCGGATAAACCCTAGAAAGTGGAACATGGCCGAGAAAGGGGAGGATATCTCAGCATGAAGAGCCCCAGCTTCTCAACTCCAGAAAACTTACAGAAGAGCAAACTCAAAACCAGTCTTTAAGTTAGTCTAGTCTATCATGCACTTAAAAAAAAAGGCAACAGCAAAAAAACAAAACTGCAAGTAGTTTGCATTCTTTTTGTGGTAATTAGTGTTTTACCTTTTGAGGAATGATATCATCGGGTGTCTCAGGCTGTTTACTTGGAATCTCAGACTGAAAACAGGGTATTAAGTATAGACACATCAGAAAAAAAACAAAACAAAAAAAAAAACAAAACATATAAAGAACACAAAACTAAATTTTTCTTGAGGCCTATAAGAAATACAGAAGATGTACTCAACTCACTCAAAGCCTGACTACTCAGCAGCTTATATAATCATTTAGCATCTGTGGTTATTTCTCAGCAAGCAAAGATCAAAGTTTCAAGTAACATAAAAACATCAAAAGTTTCAATGCTACTGAGTAGCCAGACTTTCAAATATCACACCAAAAACTTCAGTACAGATCACTACCAACATGGATGCCGTAAAGGCAACTATATGCCTCCAAAAGGAAAAATCAAAATCTGGCTAGGAGAACCTCATGTACCATGCTCCTTTGCCTGTATTCCCCAAATCTGTGTTGTAACTCATGTGATTTAAGCTGTTGTCTACAATACCTCCCATCACATAAAACATTGAGTGCTTTTCAGTGAAATAACACCCTGTAACAAAAGCCCAGAATATAGTCCTTTAGTATCTCACAGACACCACCTGGCACTGGCCGAAAGGCAGACTGGATCATCAGCCCCAAACGAAAAGTTCTCGAAGAACTAAGCAATTTCTCCTGAAATGGCTGTGCAGCTTCTGTGTAGACAGAAACTCAGTCAAGGAGAGCTTCTAAGTTGTCTTCCTCTTCATGGTCTGTGTTTGAAGATGACTTCGGGAATTTTCCCTACAGTAAACATGCTTCTACAAATGTTTGCTTCCACAGGGAAAACAGACACTGGACTATTAGGACACTTTCAAATACTTCACATGGTTTCAGTGACTTTTCTACTTTTAAAGAAAATATGCATTTTATACCGAAGAATAATCCAGGATTAATCCATCATACCCAGCACTAAGTAAAAATATTTTAAAGGCAAAATCAGGTCATAAAATTCAACAGTGAAAAAAATCATGAAGTGGGACTAGGGGTGTAGCTCAGTGATACAGCAGGGACTTTGGTTTGATCTTGCTTCAAAGCTTGTGTATTTCAAGGCATTTTGGATTTACCTCAATAAAAAACTTATAAAAATATTGAACTCAGGGCCTAGAGAGATGACTCAGTGGTTAACAGCACTTGCTACTCTTGCAAAAGACCGGCGCTTGGTTCCCAGCATACAACCACTTGTAACTACAGTTTCGGGGGATCTGCCACCCTTTTCTGACTCCTTGGACACCAGACATGCCTGTGGTAACCATATAGGCAAACACTCACATAAGAATAAAAAATACTGAACTCTAATAATAGAGATTTTTTTTTTTTTGTCTTTTTGAGACAGGGTCTCCCTGTAGTCCCAGCTGTCCTGGATTCACTACGGAGACCAGGCTGGCCTTGAACTCACAGAGATCCGCCTACCTCTGCCTCCCGAATGTTGGGATTAAAGACGTGTGCCTCCACGTCCGGCCAAGAAATGTTTTAACATTCAGTTAACACTGAAGTTCATTAAAAGACTGCAGGATAGATGCGATATGAGATAAATAAATACAACAACATGGATTGATTACTACTCTCAAACCCAACTCTGATATTTACCACATGTTCTACTGTGAAGCCCCAGCCAGAAGTGGACAGAGTACTTCATAACACCTGTTCATGGTACAGTACTGGCTTCATATACATTTGTTCATCAACTCACTGAGTTGCTTGTTTTATGAAAAGGTCTACAATTTAATACCACATTTTTGGTATTCCATTCATATTTGCCATTAAATGATTCCCTTTTAAGTCACCATAATTATAATTATGGTCATATAGAAATCTATTCCTCCATATCATGCTGTCAACTGAGTTTCCCAAATGAGTGTTTAGCTTGAGTTCCATATCATATAACAACGGTGTAGAGGCAGATACAAGAGACTCCTTCAGTCAGAAAAGGAATCCCCGAGCAATGCCATATTAATAGGTATACAGCTGTTTTTACCACACTGATCTTTGCAAAAAATAGCAGGTTCATTTGAAATTATTAATCTGTAAAAATAAGGGGCCTATATAATTAAAATCTACTTTAATATTTAAATGCTATAATTTAGGTGGAAAAATACAGTATCTTATTTAAAAATTTAAAAATTACATTTTGCGTGTATGTGTATACCCACACCCCATGTACCTAGAATGGCGCATGTGTGGTCAGAAAACAACTTGCAGGAGTCTGTCCTCTCCTTCTACCATGTGGTTTCAGGGATTAAACTCAGGTGGTCAGGATTGGTGAAAAGTGCCTTTTTCTGCTGAGCCAGGATCTTATTCTCTTGCTTTAGGACGCAGAGCAATGAGTCCAGGTTTAATGTTGTCATTATAACCTAGGCTGACATCCTAGCACTCACTATAACTGATATATCATGTAAAATATGCAATAACAGTACAACTCAACACAAACTGCTTTAATTGTGAAAAGCGCTATACTCCATAAACAGTCCCTGTGCAGACAGGATAGATTATTTTCAAGTGAAAACTCAGAAATTATCCTACTTAATTGATAATTTTTTTTTTTTTTTGTCTTTTGAGACAGGGTCTCCTTGTAGCCCCAGCTGTCCTGGAACTCACTATGTAGACCAGGCTGGCCTTGAACTCACAAAGATCCGCCTGCCTTGATAATTTTTTAATTGAGTTTTCTCAAAGGCATTAATGATTACTACTAGTTATTTTGTTATAATCATTTTAGTTTGTAAGCTTTTAAAGCTTTAAAGTCCATGGCATATGAACCAACAAAATATATTTTACATCCTAGAAATAAACTTCAAAATTATCAAGAAATAAAGTTCAAAACTTAGAGAAATAAGCCATTCTAAAAATATAGTATGCGATACTATCAAGGTTTAAGAAACATCTCTCAGTGTTTCAGAGGTGGAGGCAGGAGGATTTTGAGTTTGAGGGTAGCCTGATCTACATAAAGAGACCCTGTTTTTTTCTTTTTGGGGGGAGGGTAGTCTTTTCAAGACAGGGTTTCCCTATAGCCCCAGCTGGTTGGCCTTGAATTCAGAGATCAGCCTGCCTCTGCCTCCCGAGTGCTGGGATTAAAGGCACTCTCCACCACACCCAGCAAAAAGACCCTGCTTCAAAAACTGAAAGCCAAGCTCGGCTTGGCAGCACATGCATGTAATCCCAGCACATGAAAGGCAGAGTCAGGAAGATCAGGAGGGTCAAAGACATCCTTGCCTACATAGTTAAGTTAGAGGCCAGTCTGGGCCCTATGAGACCCTGTCTCACCCCTATTGCCTCGTTCCCCACGAACAAAATGCCTAGGCCCCCTCAAAGGTTTAATAAAATCTTAATAAACTAAAGAAATAATCACTAATTTAATATCTAATAATCATTAACTAAATTTCTAACACAAAGATTTAAAATAAGAGATTAGCTTTTTATTCACCATTGTATTCTTCAACTTCAGCAACAGAACAAACAATGCAAACACTGCTTAGAAACAGTGGTACTCGGGCTCAGCAGAAGGTGAAAGGTCAGCTCCTTTACCCTTGCTCCAGAGAAGCCCAGTTTGCCTGTCAACAATCTTTAAAAGCAATTTTCAGGTTGGCACACACCTGTTATATTGTAAGAACCTTTTGTTATATTTTATGAGCATCTATTACCAGAGTTTAAGGGATCTGGAACGGAAGAACTGACTGGTCTCTAACTCTGAGAAGCAAGATTTAATACAGCTGAAGACAGAGGTGTACTCACTATGAGGGTAACAAAGCTCAGTCTCAATGGGGCTTACTTCTTATGGGCTCGCTTCAAAACCTTGCCCTAATAAATTACTCAAGTCTTTCCCTAAACTCTGTTAACTTAAGGGCTCAGAAAAATGCTTCTAGCTCTTTTTAGTAGAAAGTAATTTAAATTTATTTTTATGTGTGTATCGCCTGCATGTATGTGAGTGCACCTGTGTCGTGCAGTGCTGTGGAGGTCAGAAGAGGGCTTTGGAATTCCCCTGAACTGGACTTAAGGATGGTTCGTAGCTGCCATGTGGGTGCTGGGAATCAAACCCAGGTCCTCTGCAAGAGCAGTCAGTGCTCTTAACCACTGAGCCATCTCTCCAGCCCCTTAAATTTATTTTTAAAATATATAAAATAATGAATTTCATTATGGTATTTTCAAATATACGTATGATTATACTTTGCTATCATTTGCCTGCACTGACATCCCTCACCCCCATTCATTTTCATTCCTAGTTTCAATTAGTGAAGACATTTCAGAATTAAGAAAATTCTACACCTAGGCACGGTGGTACACACCTTTAATTGCAGCATTCTGCAGGCAGGGGCAGATCATGAGATTGAAGCCAGCCTGTTTTATATAGCAAATTCTAGGCCAGCTGGGGCTACAGGGAAATCCTGTCTCAAAAAAACAACAAAACAAAACAAAACAAAAAAAAAAGAAAAAAGAAAAAAAAATTCTATAGAATGCTGAACAGGAAGCAACAGAAAAAAATCTATAACTTAAAGGAGACAGTATTAGTGATTTACTAAACATTTATTCTATACTAGACACTCAACATTAGAGAGGCAAAACTTATGAAATGATTTCTGTCTGGAATAATTTACCAGCTATGGACAATGGTGCAAAATAGACAAATACCAGAATCCTTTTCTTCTTTCCCTCCCTCCCTCTTCCTTCCATCCCTCCCTCCCTCCTCCCTTCCTCCTTCCCCCTCTTCCTCTCCTACTCCTTCCTCCCTGCCCTCCTTTCCTCCCTTCTCTTTCCTCTCTCCTCTCTTCTCTCTCCCGCCCCGCCATGGTCTTACTACATAGACTATGCAGTCCAGCATGGCTTTGAACCCATGACCTTCTTCTTCTGCTTCTCAAATGATGTGATTACAGTCTTGTGCCATCATGCTGGGACGTAATCGTTTCTTTTTCAAGTTATTTAACTACTAAAGGGCTCGGTATCTACACTCATAGCTCAATCTACTATTTTACAGCTCTAACCTAGAAGACTTCCATAACATTTCTACTTCCTTATGTGTAAAATAGGGATAATAATAACTGGAATTCAGAGACTTCTTGTGAGACATAATGAAACTGCATGTAGCTTTCTCTGTGGGACATCTAACTTACTGTGCTTTTCAGACACAGTCAGGTAGTGCTGATCCACAGGGACTCACTCTGAGAATGATTTCACTGTAGTGAGAACAGCATAAACTGTTATCTGCCTTACATTTTCTTTTTTTCTTTTTTTTAATTTATTATTTTTATTTTATGTGTATGCATGTAATTGCCTGCATGTAGGTAAGTGCACCAGTGTTGTTGCAATGCCTGCACAGGACAGAAGAGACTGTTGGATCCCCTGGAACTGGAGTTATGGACAGTTGTTAGCTGCCATGTGGATGCTGGGATTTGAACCAGGGTCTTCTGCAAGAACAGTGTTCTTATTCGCTGAGCCATCTCTCCAGCCCCTACATTTTCTAATATATAACCCATCTGTCAAAAACTAACTCCACAGGCTACCTTCTCACTGGGTGCTTTTAAAGTTCTGATAGACTGTGGGCTCCTTTGCTCCGGTAACATGCTTGGTTACAGAGGCTTAGGTGTGAGCCATGAACAGGTTGCTTTGTTTCTATCTGATATTGAAGTTTATATATACTTGTATAAAATAACAAGACTGTTCAAAGAAGGAGAAGATACAAATAAGGTAAAAAAGCATTATAGTTATTGGAAAAACAACTCACAGGTTGATGCCTTCTTTAAAGTAAAACAATGAGTTGGTCATGTTTGGGAGAGCATACTTAGTTTACAGCTTAGTAAATTTTTTTGGTATTTTATTTATTATTTTATGTGTATGCATGTGTTGCCTGCATGTAGGTAAGTGCACCCGTGTTGTGCAATGCCTGCAGAGGACAGAAGAAGCTGTCGGATGCCCTGGGACTGGAGTTACAGACAGTTGTTAGCTGCCATATGGGTGCTGGGATTTGAATCCGGGTCTTCTGTAAGAACAATCAATGTTCTTAACCAATGAGCCACTTCTCCAGCCCCACAGCTTAATATTTTTTAAAATTAATTTTGTTATCTGACAGCTTCTCTCTCTCTCTCTCTCTCTCTCTCTCTCTGATTATTCTTTCCCCTGATCCACTTTTCTCTTCCTCCCATCGATCTCAAGCCCCCTTCATTGCTTCCAGCCCCTTTCCCAGATCTGTGACTTTTGGCTGTCTTGTGACTCAGTTTAGCCACGGCAGCTTAGTATTTCTGAAGAATTTCAAACTAAATGACTGTTTATCCAAGAAACATTTTATGAAGCTGATTCAAGCTTAAATTCTTATGGAATTATTGGAGGAAAATATTAAGAATTAAAGAGCACATCATTGCTTTCTTCTTATAAAAGTAGTTGCATGGGGACTGGAGAAATGGCTTGGTGGCTAAGAGTGCTTACTGCTCTTCCAGAGGACCCAGGTTCAATTACCTGCTCCCACATGGCAGTTCACAACCATCTGTAACTCCAGTTCTAGGGGATCTGATTTCCAATGCCCTCTTCTGGCCTCCTTTGGCTCCTGAACACACAGTATGCATATAAGCTCATGCATGTTCATACACACAATAAAAAAAAAAAAGGTACTAGTAAAAGCTTGCAAAAGTATGGGAAATTACTATTACATTTGCAAAGTGCTCCTATATTTGAAAGCATAGTGGTTTAAGACATAGATATATCAAGTGTGACATTCTTGACAGAACTGACAGTTTTGAGAAAAGCACACTTTAAGGAATTATGTTAAAAAATCTTAACTTTTTTTTTTTTTTGTCTTTATTGAGACAGGGTCTCCTTGTAGCCCCAGCTGTCCTGGAACTCACTATGTAGACCAGGCTGGCCTCGAACTCACAAAGATCCACCTGCCTCTGCCTCCCAAGTGCTGGGATTAAAGGCATGTGCCACCAACTTTTAGTAAAACCTAAGATCTATATTTTCTTTTAAAAAATAAATTGTCAAATTATAATTGTATATTCTTATGGAGTAAAAACTGATGCTATATATAGAGTGTACAATTTACAATGGTTAAATAACACTAACATTACTTCAAATATTCATCATTCAATATATTCATCATTTCCAATTCTGAACATGTAATACATTACTATTAACTCTAGTCAGTTTACTGTGCAACAGATCTCGAAAGATTATCCCTGTCTTACGAAAACCCTGTGCCGTCTGACCAGCATCTCCTCACTTCCCAGACAAGCATCCTCTGCTCTGCTTCTGAATTTATCTTAGACTCTACACGAGATGAAAGCAGGTGGGATTTCTCTTTCTGTGCCTTGCTCATTTCCCTTGGCATGTCCTCCAAGAATATCCCAATGTTAACAAATGACAGCATTTCCTTGTTATAAGCCGACTAGCACCCCATCCTGGATATGTGCTACATTTTCTCTATCCCTTTGTCTGTTGATGGACATTGAGGTTGATTCTAAGCCTACATTCTAGGCAGCATTAGAACACTGGTCGAAACCAATGAGCATGAGATTAATGGAGCCAGGATTTCAGCATGGGAAGACAAGAGGTGGGTGCTTATTCTGTGACAGACACTCCGGCAAGTACTTTGTACAACTGAACTAAGTTCATCCTCCTCACAGCCCTATAAGGTAGAATCATTCTTTTTCCATTTTAAGCATAAAGAAATGGATAACTACAGAGCTCCCATAGCATGTCCCTAGATAGTAACATGGAAGCTTCTGGTTTTAAACCCAGGCAGTGAGGCTCTAGAGTCTATGTTGTAAACTTTTGCAATGTGATGTCTCCCTGTTTTACAGACACAGTCCATTTGATACAGATTACCTAAAATAGACTGGGGAATGGACCTAATAAGGGAAAACGCATATGGAGGCAAAGGAGGGCTTACAAGCCATTGCGAACACTGGGTTCTGTGTACTCACCGCCACATTTGTCTCCTGCTCTGTTTCTGGCACGTAAGGGTAGTGGTTATAGAACATGTCATTCCGCACCATCTTTTTCCTCATTCTGCAGGGCCCCTCCGTCATCTCTAACATCCATTTGTCTAGATGGGAGCCAATGGGAGGACCCCATAATCCTCGCTCCCGCAACAGCTCACACTCGATCTGGCACCATTCCTCAGTCACATACTTCAGGGCATTTTGTTGGCGCTGGAGGGAAGGAGGCCAGGTTGATTGTCAAGTAACAATAAAAACCATAAATAACTTGGAATGAAGTTATAATTGGGAAACAAATTCAATTGAAGCTATTTCAGACAATATTATAAATCACATTTTATTTATGACTGTATGAGAAGTGGGGTTTGTTGTGATCCAGGAATGTTACTGATTTAGCACCAAGTAAAGGATTGCTATGTACAGGGTAGTGTATGCTTGGTCACACAGGGAGCTGAGGTGGATCAGGGATACTGAAATGATCACCTGGTGATGCATGCAGTCAGCAACCTACCCTTAATACAAGAAGCAGACATCAAGAGAAGGAGTTTCTTCATACCCAACAATGCCAAACAAACTACTGCTAGGATTAGGCGGCTCACCTCCTGATATTCCTTGTACTGTGTATCCACTAGGTCACGAACAACAGCAATATGTGTAAACATCCACTGAGAAATCTCCTAACAAACGACAGGAAAAGAGCCTTAATAGTTTACAGATTTCCTGGGGGTGGGAAATGAGCTAATTGTCGCTAAAATTAATGCTGAACAGTTAAAATTCTGCCAATGTGCTACCATAGAAAACAAAAGCAAAAATGCTAAACAATGAATTATGACGATAGGGGCTGATTGGTGGCCATAGTTCTGCAGCAACCTTCCTCCCCTCAGCACCACAGCCCTGTCTTCAGAGCACCATCAGCCACTTTCAGGAATGGCCTCGGCTGCACACCTGCCAGGGTGCTACAGGGTCAATGGCTGGCTGGGCTGGAGGTTACAAAGGCTGGGGGTGATTTCAGCTCAGTGCAGGTCAACTCTGAAAGATCACTGTGGCCCATGTTCTACTTCAGCCAAATGGGGCTGTCACTCAACCACCATTTGAGTCTGGCATTTCCCTGTGTCTAATTTCCTTCTCCATTCCATAGGGATGAATCCTTGGGGAATATGCTTCCTGTACCCTAAATTCCATCTTAGAGTTGGCTTCATAGAAAACCCAGTGTGGCACAACACATGACTGTATATGCAAATTCTCTCAGATCCTTTCCTCAGCTGTCACAAACTTAAGGATCATGAAGGAAGCTGAGAAAAAAGTTAATGAAGTATGGTGGTTTAAGTAAGTGTCCTCCATGGGCTCTAAGTATTTGAACACTTAGTCCCTAGTTTCTGGTGCTATTTGGGGAGGAACATGCATGATCTATGGAGGTGTGACCATGCTGGAGTGCTGGAGGAAGTATGTCACTGGGGGCAGGCTTTGAGAGTACACAGCTTTCCTACTTCCAGTCTGGCTGCTCTGCTTCCTGTGCCTGCTTGAAGATGTCAGCACTCAGCTCACTGCTCTGGCTGCCTCCTGCCATGCCTCCCCTGCCATTACAGACTTTTCCTTTGGAACCATAGGTCAAATAAACTCTTCCTTCTGCAAGTGGTCTTGGTCATGGTGTTTTATCACAGCAACAGGAGTAACTACTACAAGGAGGCAGGCAAGATTTTAAAAAAAAACACAAGTATTTACAACTAGACTATAAAAAAAAAGACATCTGTTATCGCCTTAAAAATTCTGTAATTATTGGAGCTGGAGAGATGGCTCAGTGCTCTTGCAGAGGACCCGGGTTTGATTCCTAGCACCTACATGGTAGCTCCACGGGCGTGGATGACACAAGTGCACTTATATGCATGCAGGCAATATATGCATATACATAAAATAAAATAGTAATAAAAAAAACTTCTGGACACTGACTTGACACATTGGACCTTAATATTGATGACAGACTATATGGGTTTTAGTGGGGGGGGGGGCACGCTGGGGGAGCATGCCAGTGGGGATGGGGGTATAAAGATGATTAAGACTGTTTGAGATATTCTGTGTAAAATACACAAAAATTCAATAAAAACAAATTAAAAAAAAAGAAATCTGGGGGCTGGAGAGATGCCCCAGCAGTTAAAAGCACTGACTGCTCTTACAGAATTGAACCCAGGTTCAATTCCCAGCACCCACATGGTGGCTACAAACCATCCTTAACTCCAGTTCCAGGGGAATCTGACACCCTCTTCTGACCTCCATGGCATTGCACGACATGGTGCACTCACATACATGCAGGCAATATACTCATACACATAGAGTAAAAATAATAATTAAAATATATTTTAAAAATCTCTGTAATTGTCAATAATGGTATTATTCAAAGTTGGAAAAACTGAGAAAAAATTACCTCAATCATCTCCTAATGTCTGAATCTCATTTGGGTCCAGTTAGGAAAGGGATGCAAATACACAGTACTCACAATACAATTTTATCGTAATAAAGACGTTCCTAGAATCTGTTATCTCTATTTATTCTAAAGGCAAATGTAGCAAAGTTCCATTTCAGGTAATCTACCTGTATATGTTGACAATATTATATAAAACACTGCAACTAAATCTTGAAATATAAACTTCTAAGGGTATCACCAGTGAAGCTATGTAACATACCTGGGTGGAAAGACTGTGTTTATGAAGACCGCTTTCTTTTCGATTCCTTCTTGATCCTGTTAATTTGGAAAGACCAAAGCCGCTGCTGACACGAGACAGTTTAGATTGTGTGGTGGGAACTAATGCTTCTCCTCGACTTATGCATTTCTTCTCATGGGCTAAAAGATTAAAATTAATTATTGTACAAGTCAGCCACATTTTTACTATTTTCATATTAGTTCTAGATACTGGCAATCAGCTTTAGTCTGAAAATATTACTATAACTCAGTAAGGTATTTTGAGAGACAGAGCACATTCACATTACTTCTATCACAGTATACTGCTATAATTGTTCAATTTTATCAATGATTATTCTTAATCTTGCACTGTATCTGTGTATATTGAACTTTCTAAGCTTGTAGATAGAGGAAATATAGCATACATGGGGTCTGGTATTATCTGTATCCTCCCTCCCCCACCTCCCGCTACTTTGGTAGATCTTGGAAATACATCACCAGCAGATAAAGAGAAACTGCTACAGTTACCAAAAGTAGCATTGATTACAGAAGTAGATTCTGCTTTTAGATATCACAGACTTTGTTGGTGAGCCCGTTTAAGGATAGCTGCTCAAGAATTAGTGTGCTAGCTCAATTTATATTTGGTTATAATATCACAATATTCCAATAATATATAGATCTATTTTAATTAGAATGCATTCCTATGTGAATAATTCATAATCATTTATCTTGAACGTTTGCTACTAGGAATATTTTGGAACTCAGAATGTTTTTGATTTTAGGAAAGCTATGAGACACACACAGTATATTATATGCCATTGAGTGTCTACAACAGTAAACCATAATCGAAAACATCAATATTACTGCGGCAAAATGTACAAATACTTATACCAAATATGATAAAAATAGGTACTAAATCAGTCTTAGTACCATATGAAATAGAAAATCATGTTCAGTTTTAAGGAAGAAGATTGCAGACACAGTTAAGAGAGTGACCATGTTTGTCAACAATGTGTTATTCTCTAAACTCTACACGCATGCCTTAGATGTAAAAAGTTCAAGAAGAGAGGTCACATGTCAGTATGATCATTGGAATGGTTCTGCTGTACTTGCGTTTCAATGAGCACTGTGATGTCATCAGAGCAACATTTTCATCAGGACCTAAAGCGCACAGGTGTATAGCAGGCACTCCTGGTAGGCCTTCTCACCTAAATGATTCTGCCAGCACTTCAAACCAGCCTCTTCAATGAGCGGCCTTGCTACGGCTATGTCCACGTGGCCCCTGTCGTTCACAGGCAGTGTGACTTTGAAAAGTTCCTCCAAGACTTGTTTCTTACTATGGATCAATTCAGTCCAAACTCTGTTGACAGCTTTTATGAGAAGCTGACGCCCTAGAAAATGAAAAAAGGGAAATGATCAAAACACAATATAAAGCTAGTTCTTACTTTTCTTCATGTTTTACATCTAAGAATTCGGACAATTGTATTTAACTGTAAAAAACAAAGCTCAAATTATATCTAGCTCAGTGAAAAGGGTTATTTAAAAAACCAAAACTAAGTTTGCCTACTTGCAAAACGTTAAAAAAAAAAAAACAAGAAACAAAAAGCTTTATAGTCATATGAAAATGAATTTTTAAAAATATTTATCACTTTTATTTTTGTGTGTGTGTATGTGTGTATTGCCTGCATGTATGTAAGTGCACCCGTGTCGTGCAATACCCACAGGTCAGAAGAGGGCATCAGATTCACCTGGAACTGGACTTATGGACAGGTTTTAGCTGCCATGTGGGTGCTGGGAATTGAACCCAGGTTCTCTGCAAAAGCAGCCAGTGTTCTTAACTGCTGAGCCATCTCTCCAGTCCCAAAATTTTTATTTATAAAATTGAAAATTATTGCCAGGCATGGTGGTGCACACCTTTAATCCCAGCACTCAGGAAGCAGAGGCAGGTAGATCTCTGTGAGTTCAAGGCCAGCCTGGTCTACATAGTGAGTCACAGGCCAGCTGGGACTACAGGGAGACCCTGCCTCAAAAAGACCATTTTAAAAAATATTTACAAGAAGGAATATTAATAACAAACCATTATCACATAAGAATTAGCAAATTTGGAACATATGTCTTTTTACCAAAGAAAAAAGAATACCTCACCTTTGTTTGTCTACACTTTTAATAATTTTGAAGGAAAATTTTGTACTTTTTGTAGCAATGAAAAAAAATATTATTTTAATTTTTAAATATTTTATTTATTATATATATTTTATGAGTGTATTGGCTACATGTGTGTAAGTGTATCCATATCATGCAATGCCCACAGAGGTCAGAAGAGGGTGTCAATCTTTTGGAACTGTAGTTATGGACAGTTGTTAGCTACTGTGTGGGAACTGAACCTTGGGTCCTCTGCCATCTCTCCATCCACAATCTACCAATTCTAAATAAGAATTTATACTCCATTTAAAAGTTCTCAAACTAGCCACTAATCCCAGCACTCAGGAGGCAGAGGAAGGCAGAGCTCTGTGAGAGCAAGGCCTGGTCTAGAAAGAGAGTTCAAAGTTTTCAAAATGCCCCTGCTGTCAAATGAATCTAGGACCTCATCTGTGCCAGGCAAGTACTCTGCCAATAAGCTATGCTCTCAGACCCTTCAAAGTAATTTTTACTTTGTTTTCATTATTTTTAACTAATTTTAAAGCTGGTATATAAAACAGCAGGCTTTATCATGGCATTTTCATACACATGTCATTATACTTAGTTCTTATTTAATTCCCTTACCAATTTTCCCCCTCTTGCCTGTGCTCTTCCTCCCCCAAAACAGGCCTGCTTCTGCGTTCACATCACATGTATTGCACCCCTGCCTACAGAGCTTTCCTTGTCCTTTCAGGTATCCTCTTTACTCTCATAATCCCCCCACCCTTCTCTCTCTAGAACAAAGGTTCTAGACTTCCAGTTCCTTGTGAAAACACCGCAGGTGAACCTCAGTTTGGGAATTAAGACATTTTGGTAGAAGACAAATTAATAAATGCTTAGATAAATCAATGAAGAGAAGAATGAGTTCTGGGCTTTCGAAGGGTAAAATGGCACACAACCCCACCATGTGGCGTTTTGCTGGGAGACAAACATTACCACAGAGATCTTTGCTTTAACCCTGAGTGCTTAAAGTAAAAAAAAAAAAAAAAAAAAATCAATCCACATGATGTATGCAACATTTGTTTACAGGATTTGGAGAAACTAGTGAGACTCTGACTCAAAGAACAAGCAAACAAACAAAAAACCAAGGAAAACGACAAGATGGTGTAACTGATTAGATGGTATGATGACAAGTACTGATGCTATCTCAAGTAACCTTTGTCTCTAAGGACATGCCTGTAGTTCTCTTTTTAGGCAATGTCAAATTAGTATGTTCAGCATAAATGTGACCAGGTCTTGTAAGAAGCATTGTCAGACTTAGTGCTTTGCTCATTTTGGCACATGGAGATGGTTTGTGGGCAGGTTGGTGGATATGAAGGCTGTCTATGGCACTGAGAAAATAGCTAGTAATACTGGTATTTTTTGAAACCAATGTTTTTGGCTATGTCTGAAAGCTGGAAATGGACACCACCACCACACCCAAAATCATCCAGGGAACTTTACCTTCACTGATATCTTGGCTGTAGCCACCATCTGGTTCAATGTCAGAGGGAATCATGATGTGCCATGTGGTCATGCGTGCTTCTGCTTCCAGTCCAAATCCATCCACGTTGCTGAAACATTGAAACCAAATTCACCTCTCTGAAGGAATGATTACAGCTGACAGCTATAATGACCACGAATTACTCTGCAGACACTTGTAAGCACTGGCCCCATCGTAACGTTCCATTACTGGCAGACAGACATTCAATGGATGCAAAAATAGGACTCCTAATTTACCACAGAGGTGCCATTTTTAAGGAATGATCTCACAAATCCACTTGATTACATGTAGGTAAAGTAATTTCAGGATCAAGATTGTCATATTGACATTTAAGGTCTTTTTAGATTAGTGTTAACATTTTTATCTTAAAATGATAACAAATCTAATAGCCAAGCCCTCTCCAGATTGTAGCTCTCTCTTCTTGGTTTCCCTGATGTGCCACCCTCTTACTTCCCTGTGGGTACCCATGTAGACAGCTCTTTCTTCCAGTGGGCGTTTCTTCCTGTTTAGATGCTCCTAAAGCACTGTGCTGCTTCTAGAGGACTCAGCACAGCTGACTGGCTTACTCAGTTCTGCTTTTTCTTCACCAAGTCTGCCATAGGATCTAGCTTACAGTTTCACTCTAGTCCCTAAATGAGTGACTAGCCCCTAGCTGATACCAAGGATACACCTGTCAAATCCATCAAGATTAAAATACCAGTCAACTCACCAACTTAACATACAGCACTGTGCTGTTTTCTTTTTCACTTCTCTTAGTCTCTTAGACTAAAAACTGGAAATGAACACCACCACCACACTCAAAATCATGACGTGTGTGACATGGTAATCACGAAAAAACTTAAAGATATAGAAAAGTAAATGAAAAAGGAAAATCATTATTTCCTTGCAAAAATGTAACCCTTCCCCTTTACCTTCTTCATAAAAGACTAAATAAAACAGATTACAGGTAAAAATAACTATCACTATATATATATAAAGTTCTGAAGGAATCTGACCAAAGACAAAGTCGACAACAAGGCAAATGGAATCTAAGAGATTTACCTTCCAACATGTAGATTAATCAGGCAGTGAGCAAGACAGCTAATAAATTCTTGGTCGTGGTTCCCAGGGCCCAGGATCAAGTTTCTGTTTACAGTTAGGACCCTGAGTGAATCAAGGAGAGCTACTTGCTGTGGAACAGTTTTGTGAGCCCTGGAGAACTGGTACAAGATGGTCCTATTGAGGCAGTGATAAACTGCATCCAGCGACAACCCCTGTGATCTTCTCTTTGACTAAAGACATGAAAGAGATGTTTTCAGTAAAATGGTCAAAAACAAAAGAACTGCTTATCATTCATAAATGCATTTTGATTAGCTATCGTGTAACTCATGCCATGTTAAGTCCTAGGAGTGCTTACTTAGTCTGAACAATACTAAGCTCTTGCTATTATATATCCAGAGCCCATGAGACACATAAATGCAATTTAAGAATGAAGAAAGTGCTCCACAGAGTGCTCACTGGGGAGCATCCTCTCTGTGGAGCAGTGAACTCTCCAAGAGCACATCAAGTATCATCTGGCTAGAAGCTTCCATCAAGTTAACTTTATTAGGATGAATGACATTTACGCTGAAGAAATCACCAAGAATTTCAGAGAAAAATGTTTCAGTGTTCTAGTTTCATTCCCTCACTTGAGAGTTCTCTGTGGCTTAACTACATATGTGTATCTTCAGAGATTCTTAGGTGACAGGAGAACTGTGCACCTACACCACACACCAGCCAAATTTGGTAGCAGCACTTTCTGACTTTTCTGCATTAAAAAGGAAATTAAATTAATTACATATGCCAGATCAGACCCATGCTTTTTGGTCAAACAAGCATAAGGAGGGTGGTATCTTCAAAGGAATATGGATGCCAATGGACAGTGTAAAGGTTCAATTGACAAGAGAAAAGTTCTTCAACAGGGACTCTTCGCTCTTTGTCTTTACACACTGACATATTATAAAAATGTACGAAATTATAGTAACAAAGTATTAACCCTGGGTCAGAAAGGGTCAGCAAGAGACCAACTAGTTTGAATAAATTAGGCAACTTTATAAAGAGAACACTGGTACCAGGAAGGAGAGAGGAGTCAAAAGTATGCATTTTTTACTTACTTTTAATAAGCTTAGCCTATTAAATGTTAACAACCATTATCTTTTTATTTACACTTATTTCCAACAATTTTGACACCATAATAAAGTTTACCGAAAAGAAAACATGTACTATGTAACTAATAGTGACAATGGATTACCTGTGCAATTAGTTGAATTATAAAATCTATAAGAAGTTTAGATTCTTTGTTGAACATGCCTTGCCAAAGCTTGTCCACCACACGTTGTGTGAAATAAAATACATTGTTCACCAATACCTGGTAGCTTCCTCCACTGGTAATAGGCAGAGACGCATCTTCCCCTAAATTCCAGTAGGAAAAAGAGGTCTAAGAAAATTGGTGTCTACCAGCACAAGGACCTCAAAGAAAGCAGGTTAGGAAAGATGAGCATACCCACAGCACTTAAGAATACAACCACAAGCTCCTAGGTACTATTTTAATAAAATGATGTGCATGGTCAGAAACCAGGGAAATGCTAGAAAGAATCTTTTCAGCAGGTTAAAAGCACTGTGGGCTGAGAGTCCCTGTGAAGTCTCTTAAAACTAAAGACTGCCTGTGAGAAGCAAGCAGTTCTTCAACTAAAGCTGTCAGCAATAGAGTCTCCATCTGAGAGAAAAAATCCAATTTATTAGCTAAAAATGGATTGTGTGTGAATAATAAAGCTTAAAAAAAGCCCATCAAACAAAACTCTATTTTGGAGCATACTTTTCATAGTAAATGAGGTGATATAGGCAAAAGAAGCTGAAGATAATTCGTGAAATTCAGTAGATTCAGTGGAGTTACCAAAAGGGACTTGTACTGTAGCCCTCTGTGATTACTACCAGTGCTGCCTCTTCTTGTTAGGCTACCCCAGTATGTCCAGTGGGTTGCTATAAACACACTGCCTCAAATCATCCCCTTCTCACCAAATGATCTCTAACACCCCCTGCAGAGTCTGGAGGCTCTGATACACGTGATCACTACTGTTACCTAACTCTAAACTACCCTGTTAAACCAACTCTTCATTTTGTAACTTTAAAAACATTTTACTTATGTGTATGTGCATGTACCTACTTGTCTCTATGTGTACCACATGCATGCAGTGCCTGCAGAGGCCAGAAGAGGAGGTCAGATGCCCTGTAACTGGAGTTATGGGTGGTTGTCAGTTGCACAATGTGGGTACTGGGAACTGAATCTGGATCCATTACAAGAGCAGATATTGCAGAATTTGAGAATTCATTTATATGTTGTGCTGGATAGCTTTAGTGTCAACTTGACACACCTGGATTGAGGGAGCCTCAGCTGGGGAATTGCCTCTATTGGACGGCCCTGTGGCCATGTCTGAGGGGCATCCTCTTGATGAGTGATGTAGGAGGGCCCAGCCCACTGTGGGTGGTGCAACCCTGGCAGGTGGGCCTGTGCTACATAAGAAAGCAGGCTGAGCAGGGGCCAGGGGAGCAAGCCAGTAAGCAGTGTTCCTCCACGGCCTGTGCTCCAGCTCCTGCCTCCAGGTTCCTGCCCTGAGTTCCTACCTTGAGCTCCTGGATGAACTGTGACCTGGGGGATGTAAGATAAATAAACCCTTTCCTCCCCAAGTTGGTAGTGGTCAGAGTGTTTTGTCACAGCAATGAAGAAACAAACCAGGACATATGTCAAAACAATACTAAAGATTTCCTGGCACATTTACTAGCATGGAGGTTCTACGATTCATGTGATCACTAGGACCTCAGAGTAGTCCATAAAATATACCTTTCAAAATAAACCTTTCAATATTTTTAGTCTTCCTCCCTCCCTCTTTTTCTTTTGAAGAAAACATGGCCCATGCTTATTTTGAATGTACAACCCTTTTTCCTTAGCTTCTTAGCACTGCCGGGATAACAGGTAGGTATACTACGCCTAGCTTTGAAACAATACATTCCCTTCCCCTATAAATTTGCATTGTGTTGTATGTAAATGATATTTCTACTGTAAATGCATCAAGTGTTACATCTTTATTGTAATGAAATGCAAATGTTTTGAAAAAACATTCCAGTGTATTCTGACCTTTTGATCTGGAACACATCTTAAAGAACAATATGCACAAATCTATGATTCTACTACTCAACAGACACATATAATTACAAGTATGTGGTCTCTTTGAACAAGAATGTTTACAGCAGTATTATTTAGAGTTGTCTCTAACTAGAAACTTCCATATGTCTATCAGCAACAACATTAATAAAAATATACTCATGTGACACAATACTACATAGTAATGATAACAAATAGACTTCTGCTCCATGAAAAAACATAGATATATCTCCCACACAAACAAAATGCTAACTCTATGAGGTTAGATGGAATTTTGGGCATGGTGGCATGAGCCTTTAATCCCAGCACTCAGGAGGAAGAGGCAGGTAGACCTCTGTGAGATCAAGACCAGCCTAATCTCCATAGCAAGTCCAGATCAGATGGGGCTACAGGGAGACCGTGTCTCAAAAAAACAAAACACAACAAAAAAACAAACAAAAAAATTGGCTGAAAAGAAAAGAGAAAAAAAAAATGAACTTGGAGTTTAGAGAGTTTAAAGTAATAATAGGCACTTTTAGAAAAGAAAAGGATGTGATTACCCAGTAACACATCAGCTGCAAGCAAATGGTCCATCACACTATCCAAAATGTATGTCTGAAATTCTTTTTGCTGAGTTCTTGTTGATCTTTCAGGGGATGCCTATATAAAGAAAAATCAAAAGAACAACAACAAAAAAACCCAAAATTAGACACAGACCTAACTACACAAGGATGGGGTCCTAGCATATTTACATTATGAAACATGTCAAAAAGCCAAAAGCAGTCCTACTGGCAAACTGGGGGAAAATGGCACAAGGGAGATTATTTGTGTGTATCATCTTGCTCTCAATTTTCAAATCACACAATTAAAAAATAAAAAAGGGAAGCCACAGTGAAGAGCCATCTCTAAATCTATTCTTTCAAAATCCTGACCATGAACATAGTATTTAGTAAACATTTAATAATTTATTATTATGCTTCATTTCCAAAAGATATGGCAGTTTAAAAAAAGCAGATAAAATAAGTCAGAAAAATCATTAATGCAAACCCAAAAGCTCAAGAAATATAGTAGTCAAGAGCACTCAATGGGGAAGAAATTATTTAAACAAAAGATTAATCAGGCAGACAATCTAGTGCTGCTTCATGCATGTCAGGAGGGAAGAAACTGTGGTTTATGCTTTTTATTATCTATGATAGGAAGCACATTAGTTTGCTGGCACCAGAGAGGATATGGTTTCCTACAATTGTCTATGAGCAATGTTGTCTGTGGATAGTGAACAGATGTATAGATGGCATTTCTGATAACACTTTTATGGAGTATTCATCTCAAGGAAAAACGTGGAGTACACAGTTGAATGACACCCTCCAAAAGTACCTCCTGGTTGCTAGGGAAGACAATTTAGGTACCTAACTTCCAAATACGCAGCCTGGTAAATGGCAAAGCACTGGGAAGAAAGGTAACTAAGGATACTTTAATGATCCTTCTGTAGCCATTCAGCCAGGCCTTTCTCACACAGGAACAGTTCCAACTGTTAATACATTCTTGACAGTGTGTGTAAGTCAAAGTATAATATTGGTGTTTTGCAAACAGGTGTGAAAACAGAGCAATCGGGACAATGTTTAGGAGCACCTTACAAAAGTGAGCTTTAGAATACTGTTCTGTTTTCTTTGTGATCTGACTTTCTAAGTGGTCCCAGGGAAGATTTTAAAGGTGCTCCTTGTTCCTTCCCAGTTGAGGGGCTGGGAAGATAGCTCAGTGGGTTAAGTGTCGGCTGTGTAAGTATTCATGTAAAAGCCAGGCACAATGAATGGTACCTGTCTGTAACCCCAGTGCTGGGAGTAGAAATGGGTAGATTCTGGGGGCTTCCTGGCCAGCCAGTCCAGTGGAAACAGCAAGCTCCAGGTTTAGTATGAGATCATATCCCAAATATTATAAGGTGGAAAGTAATAGAGGAAGACACCTGCTGTTGACCTCTGGCCTCCCCCCTCCCCCCATGCAATGCATGCTGGTGGAGAATAAAAATAAAGAAGATGAAATCTAACTTCTACACTGAGATCAAAGACAGTAGCCTAAGGAGTAAAAAACCAACTGAAGCAAAGTTGTTAATGAGTATTTCCTTCTTTCTTGTGCATGATGTCTTTATTTTTTAATTATTTATTTATTGTTATTTTATGTTTATGAGTGTTTTATGCACATGAATGTAAGTGCACCTGTGGATACAATACCCATAGAGCCTAGAAAAGGGCATTGGAACTAGAATTATAGATGTTAGCTACCAAGTGGGTGCTGGGAACTAAACCCAGGTCTGCTGCTAGAGCTGCCAGTGCTCTTAACCACCGAATCTCTCCAGATCCCTGGTATCTTTATTTTAAAGTGACAACATACGTGAGAAGATCTAGTAACTGAGATTGGTTTATCCTTAATTTGAGAAAAAGTGAAAGATTATGTTGTTTAGTTGAACAGAAGGTGTCTGGGCAATGGCCAATGGAGACATGTGACCAATGTCTGTCTATTATTCTGGGATACTGTAGTCAGAGTCCTACTCCCACTAACTGAAAAGTGTGAACTTCTAACTGATAAACAGCAGAGTAAAAGTTTCACCAGGACTGCCATGGAATTAGGCAAGTGGCCATTTCATCCACCATCTGGTAGGAGTTGACCAAGGGATAAGGCTGTCCATTTGGAGGATATAACCACTCTGGAGACTACAGTCCTCAGCAACACAACTAACCCAGGGGTTAAGTGCTAATAAATAGGTTAATCAAGTCTTAACCAGATAGTTTTGGAGTCTATAAAACAAGGTCTTCGAAACATGAGAAGTGTCTTATCATAACGATACTTATTTTTACTTAAATAAAAACAAATTGTTTCTATTTCCAGAAGGATTTTAAGGTCTGCTTAGTCATCAGTGGACATTTAATCCTCTGATTCTTCTCACTGTAGCTTTTGCATGGGTGATCATGACCCCAAACCTACACTTGTTACTGGCTCTAGCTGCCTAGCTCAAATGGTATTGCTGAGATTTACAGCACTCTAAATTTTACAGAATTTAAGATTTTTATGAACATAGGCATCATTGTCACTTTAAAATAATTCACTGGAGTATTCTGTGCCAGACACAGGTCCTTGCTATATATACACTTTTGTCATTTCATCAGTAAAACACCATTTTGGACATCATGACATCCCCATTTTAGAGACAAAGTAATTGAGGCTAAATGAGATTAAATCACAACTAGGACTTAAATCCCAGTTCTTTGGAGCTTAAAGCCCAGAGTCTCACCAGCTACATCACATTCTCCCCACTACACTGAAATACGACAGTGAGGTTAACAAACACACAAGCTATAATGTTTTCATCATTCTTTTAGATAAACCTGGCTGGTTCACCAGATCTACATTCAGATATGGTGAGCACTGGAAGCTTGCTCTGGCTCCGGGCGGGCAGACCTGTCTCCCCAGTAGAGCCAGTGAAGCAGGAAACATTAAGAATTCAAAGGATCACCATCTCCTTTTCAAGGCCTTGGGAAGGCCATGCATAATATTCTTGTCAGACTGCATAGGTAGGCCAGGGATAGGTATCTGGTGTCCCTGGGAGAGAGTGCTGTGGTTCTGGGAAGAAGGCTTCAGGTGCTGTCCTGTGGCTGCAATGGATAAGAAGCCTTTAAAAGAAGAGTCTCAGCTTCTGGGTTCTGACTGCAGGCTTCCTCTGACTCCTTCTGAGTAGCCTGGTATGCTCATGGCCCACTTTGCAACTGATTTTGTTTGCTTGCTTCCTTGTGGCCACTCAGGGTAGGCTTCCCTCTGATATATGATGAGGACAAGTCTTGAGGATAATGTCTGGGAAAGAGTATACTGAGCTCCTAGATCACAAAACACAGCTTACAGTATCAAAACAACACACATGCAAACTCAGGACCATGAGTTTGGTCTACTTCATCTTTAGGTAGATGTAAACACTTTTGATTTGTAACCATGTACTTTCTTTCAATTGCCACACTTCTCATCTGTACCAAACCCATCTAGTCCTTCATGTACAGTTGGGGAGAACTCTGATGAATGCTGGCGAAGAGTCACCAGACATCCCTAAGCCAGGCCAATTGAATTTTTGAGTATGCCAGGCACTGACTTATAAATATTATCCTGTATTATTGTGTTTAATTTTCATAATAATTATCAGACAGGTTCCTTTCTTAGATCATTTTATAGATGGATAAACTGTAAGGGAAGGGGGAATTGAACTTGACCAAGGTTAGAGAGCTGGAACCAGCATACATTAATTCCTCAGAATGCTTCTTACTAGTAACATGTATATATTTAACTCTAACAACAAACCTACTGAAGAAACATTTAATGATATTCTTCAAAGAACTAATGTAACATGCTTATATAATAAATGGAACAGAGTCAAATCCAAGAACTTCTTACTGAAAATCGACTCCCTTATAATGAGCCTGAGATAGTTTTAGAGACTGCTAAAAAATAATTTCACATGTTCCTTTGGCAGATACAATCAAATAAGCATGTTCTCCTATGATGTTCTCACACTAATAAGACCGAAGAGGGTAGGGTTCACATCTGTCAGACTGAAAATTAGTGAGTTTAAGCCTCACTGTTCTAGAATCTCTTCAGAGATAAAACTTCATGATCATCTGATTAAGAATCATATATTTTAAAAAATATTTTATTTATGCCGGGCGTGGTGGTGCATGCCTTTAATCCCAGCACTCAGGAGGTAGAGGCAGGCGGATCTCTGTGAGTTCAAGGCCAGCCTGGTCTACATAGTGAGTTCCAGGACAGCTGGGGCTACAGGGAGACCCTGTCTCAAAACTCCAAAAAAATTTTTTTTATTATTTTCATTTTATGTGTATGTGTGCATTGCCTGCATGTAGGTAAGTGCACCCATGTCATGCAATGCCCGCAGAGGTCAGAAGAGGCTGTCGGATCCCCTGGAACTGGAGTTACGGACAGCTGTTAGCTGTGATGTGGGTGCTGGGATTCGAACCTGGGTCTTCTGCAAGAACATTCAGTGTTCTTAACCACTGAGCCATCTCTCCAGCCCCAAGAATCATATATTTTTAAGGAAAGTCAAAGAACATAATATTTTTATTAGCTTTTGTATATGTACATTCTGTAAATGTGCAAAGTTCTTTAAAGTAGTAAGTTAATTTTTTTAGATTTATTTTTATTATGGTTATATGTGTGTGTTTGCTGTGTGTGTATGTGCCCACAGAGGCCAGAAGACAGTGTCAGATCCCTTGGAGCTAGAATTATGGGAAGTTATGAGCTACCTAATAAGGGTGCTGAGAAATGAACTTAGGTCCTCTGGAAGAACAGTGAGCAGTGTATACTCTTAACCATCTCCTCAGCCCAGTTTTTAAAAACAGATTTCTACCTTTTTTGATAAAAATGGCATCATATCTTCCTGTTTTGCAAAGATGTAATTACTAGTGAACTGATTAAAAAAATATTATAGACTATCCCAAGGTACTCTGCCACCTGTTAGGGGAATTGAAAAACACATCAAAATTACTCTCTAGTTTTAAAGACTTTAAATCTATCTTGGGGCTTTAACCTGACACTTCTGCTTATCCCTGAACTATAATCCTAACACCCCAGCTCCTAGTCCAAATGGGCACAACTTCCCATATGAACAACAATGAGAAGGTTAGTGAAGGTGACATGCAACTTTTCTACTAACACAGAAAACAAAAATAAAAGTTCCTAAGTTATCCATGATTAACTAATTAGCTATTAGGGTTCTTAGAAGCTCAAAAATGCTCATGCTGGCTAGGTGCACGCTGGCTATTTTTTCTCTCAGTCATCCTTTTTTGCACATATTTCTTCTGAATCTCATTGCTATTTCACTTTTCATGGGCTGTTTCAAACTTTTACCCTAGATATTGAGATAATGATCATCTTTCTTGAGCTTTTCTTTTTTTTTTTTTGTTCCCTTTTTTGGTGATACTTGTTGAATTCAGGACCTCATGCACGCTAAGACAACTGCTCCAGCACTGAACTCCAGCTCCAGCCCTATGAGCTTTTCACAGTTTCCAAAGAGAAGAAATGGTATCAGGCAAGCTTTTCATTCTAAAGCTTTTGATCATGCGGATTACAGGTGAACCATTTTTTTCATCTGCCAATCTTAAAACACTGAGGTTCTGGTTAAAGTACTTAGCATGACCGGCTCCTAAATCTGTAGGTGACTTCTTTTAATTGGCTAAACTGAGATGTTTTCATCTAAGTAAACACTTTCTGTGGTTTTGAGGTTACAATTAACAAGTTAACTGCATTAGCCACTAGATGGAGCAGAGAACTTTGCTGAGAGCTCCTGCCCACGCCACATTTCTTCCCTTGGAAAGCAGTCGCCACACTTAATAACCTTCACACATTCCAAGGCAGGGCCTCTTTGGCCCTATTTTTACAAACTTGCCAAAAGAACATGAACACATAGGCAACAATAGATTATTCACTAAATTCTCTCCTTGTGATCTTTTATTTCCTTTAGTGATTCCAATAGGTGCACATTTTGCTGTTGGTTGTTTAGCTCTGAGAAGATCAAACACAAAGTATGCACGATTTGGATACTCACTCTACTGCTGAGTTACACACCACAGCTTTCTATGAGTATTTGAAAATGGCCTAAGTGTAAAGCCAGTAAGGAAACCGGCTAAGGTGAAGACTCACTCTCATTTTCCCATGCACCACTGGCTTCTACCATTCATCAGGGATAGGAACAAATATCAAAGTCTGCTGCCTTGAGGGGGAAAAAAAAAATCAGTGAGTGCATGTTGAGTATCTCTATGTGCAATACACTGTGTTGTAAGCTGCAATGGACAGGATAGCAACACCAGTGGTAATGCTGGGTGTGCATGATTGAAGTAGAGTTAAGAGGTGAGGGGAAAAACTCTAGGCAGAGCTCTGAACATATAGAGGAGGGGTGGTGTCCACACGCTACTGTCTGCAGGTTGAATCTCCCCTGAGCCTATTTTTGCAGATGGCTGGCTTGATGGGATGCAGCCTACCCACTGTCTTCCGTGCTGGTTCTAGTTCCTTCCATACAGTGCAGTGGCACAGCTGAAGAGTTCTGACACAAACTCTATGGCTTGAAAAGCCTAAAATAAGGAGTATTTTTTGGCCCCTTATTGGAAAAATTTACCAATTCCTAGAAAAAGGATGATAAAAGACCGAGTTAGAAATGTGCTTGAAGGAATGGAAAGAACTGCAACAAACTGACAGGGTCTATCTAGCACGTGTGGGATTAACAACTTTACAGCCCACATGTGCGCTGCCCACAGAAGCATTAGCAATCTGAAAGTGTTCAGCATAGAATTTAATTGGTTCTTAATGTTCTAATTTTAACAACAAGTTCTACATGCATTTCTTTGTCTTTACCTCCAACAGAAGATCAATTAGTGGAGTCTGCTTGCTGGCAGGGGTAAGACAGAGGTTGTCGATTATTAAGACCCGCATGAAGTCAAAGACGAACTTTTTAGCTGGGTGGTTGGTCAGATAGGTTTTGGTGCCCACATTGCAGTACTCTGACTGGCTCCTGTTCATTCCTGTGTCTGCAGCAAAGGCTTTAAACTCTTCTGCTGGAGATCCAACTTCATCATCGAGATCAGTCACCTAAGGAATTCAAGCGGAATCATATTAGATTTTGAGACACTTTTATTTCTGTGTCTTAAAAAGAAAATTGTGGCAGCAGCAGCAGCAAGAGCAGTGGCAGCGGTGGCACTATTTCCTTCAGCCTTGACTCCCATTTAGCTGCTCAGCACATGACTGTGCACTGCTTTACCTGACCTTTGCTTTCAAGGTAGTGATCTGGTGCCATGTCACAGCTACTCAACATGGGTCTTTCTGATTGAACACTAATAATATAACTGCTTTATGTGCGGTTATGAATCCACTATGGATAACTGTATTTCAAATAAATGAAACAGCATGAGGATGACTGCATTTGCATATTTGACATAGAAGTCAAATGTCATGGAATATCAGATAAAATGTGTCTTAAGGTTGGGTGTGGTGGCGCACGCCTTTAATCCCAGCAGAGGCAGGCAGATCTCTGTGAGCTCAAGGCCAGCCTGGTCTACATAGTTCCAGGCCAGCTGGGGCTACAGGGAGACCCTGTCTCAGAAAGACCAGAAAAAAATTGTGTCTTAATGGTAATAGCTAAGGGTTGATCATTTTTTTACAGGTGAAAAAAAATCAAAATAAGCAAAACAACAATAAAACTCTTCCCAATTTTAAGCCAGGCAAGAAAGACAGAATAGTAAACAATCCACAAAAAGCTGATAAGGAAAAGCATACCATGGAAGGTCATGTTTTTAAAAATATTTTATTTAGGCCCGGCGTGGTGGCATACCCCTTTAATCCCAGCACTAGGGAGGCAGAGGCAGGCGGATCACTGAGTTCAAGGCCAGCCTGGTGTACATAGTGAGTTCCAGGTCAGCTGGGGCTACAGGGAGACCCTGTCTCAAAAAGACCAAAAAAAAATTTTTTTTATTTATTATTTTTATTTTTTATGTGTATGCGTGTGTTGCCTGCATGTAGGTAAGTGCACCCGTGTCGTGCAATGCCCACAGGGGACAGAAGAGGCTGACAGATCCCTGGGAACTGGAGTTATGGACAGTTGTTAGCTGCCATGTGGGTGTTGGGATTCGAATCCAGATCTTCTGCAAGAACATTCAGTGTTCTTAACTGCTGAGCTATCTCTCTAGCCCCAGACGGTCATATTTTTACCAAAAATAAGGATTCTAAACTTGTAAGCAAGCTGGAGTCTTAAAGTTATATGCCATCCCTGTCTTCTAGAAATATCCACAGTTTTAGAATGAGCATTCCACCTTTATATAGTGAGAAAAATCAGCACGAAGAAGGTAGTTTACTCCAGTCCCTAAAGTATGTCATAGGAATGAGAACACTTCGTGGGGTTCTGAAGTACTGTGGAAAATAACTATCTTTTGAAAGGAAAGAAATACCTGAGCTATGGCTGATCACAGCCTAATAATTTCCTGTTAAGTTAGTATAAAATAAAAAAAGTTAAGCAAGAACCACATTATTTGATCACTTTTTAAGACAACTCTATAATTCATTTGTAAAAAAATAAACCCAGGAAACTCCCATGAAGAAGTCTGGCCTGACTAGAATTCTGTTGCTAGCCAAGAGCTTTTAATAACCATGCCACCACCACCATATGGACAAAGAAATGAACAACAGCTCCGAGGACAGGGAAATTATTGTCTATGCACAGGACAGTACAGAGGATGAAAGCGGGAATAGAGCTCACAGTTCTGTCAGGGACAAGCAGAAGGAAAGTGTGGGGAGCCGGAGGCAGCAGATGGTGATGTAATAGGTGATACACAAAGACAAAACTGCAACTTAGGCAGAAATTCAGGCAAAAGAAAAAAATTTTTAAATATCTGTTAAGCACTGAAACAGACTAATTCTGGTTCGACCTTTCTCTGACCTTTCTTACCATCTCTGAGTAAGGGCGGATGTTGAAGGGGAAGACAGTTGCTGCTAATGCACACAGGAAATCAGGGCTCATCCACATGGAGGCGAGGTCTGGCACATTGTGATACAAGTATCTAAAGAACTGCATGAGGGTCACTGGGTACTCTCGTAGCCATGAGCCCTCTTCTTCCGACTGCCACGGCTGACATAGGAATAGGAGAAGAAAACATTAGAGAAGTTAATGCCTAAAAAGTACTTTAGTGAAGTGGCAAACGTTTATAATCCCATGACTTGGGAGGTGGAGGCAGAAAGATCAGGAGTTCAAGGTTATCCTTGGCTACACAGTAAGTTTGAGGTAAACCTGGGCTGCATGAGATTCATTCCTTCTCTCTCTGTCTCTGTATGTCTCTCTCTCTCTCTCTCCTGGGTGTATGTCTCTCTCTCTCTCTCTCTCTCTCTCTCTCTCTCTCTCTCTCACACACACACACACACACACAAAGTTAAAAAAAATCTACTACTGACCACTCTTCTATCATTGAAGATATCAATTATCAATGGTCCAAAAATTTATAAACTACACGAGCACAGGTATATGTGCACACACATAAATAAACATAGTCGTTAGCTCAAATACAAGCCACACCCATAGAAACTGGTCAGATGTTTGTTCTTCAGAGTCCTCACAGCTCAGCTAAGAACAGTCAGTGCTTCTGAATATTCAATATCAACATGAGCATGGCTGACACCACAGCGGCTGTTTCCCTTCAGTGTTCCCAAATGTGCATCATGTCAGACAATCAGGACTAAGATAAAGGATGCAGAAGTCACTCTATCCATCTGAGCCTTATACTTCCTGCTACAATAGCACCAATGCTCTGAAGCACCATACAACAAACACAATGCTGATAAATAATAAAAATATGCGCACACAAATACTTGAATAATGTGCATCTGGGCCCTGAAAGTAGCTTCTTCAACTCAGAATTTTATATTTACTTATGAATAAAAATTCCAAAGTATTCTGGAGTAATTATCTTTAATGGTAATGTTTTATTCTTAGACGAAAGAACAATTATTTTGACTAAAATTCTAATTCTCAGGCACATATAATTCAAAGTATCTAGGTTAATATTTTCCCTTAAAACACAATTCTAAACTGTGTAAGCAAACCAAGCCATTATTCACAATATTCCTTTAAGGTAGACAGGAATAAAGAATTTTGTCATTTATTCTCCCAACTTTTCATGTGTAAGTTCAAAGTAATCAGAATAGAAAAAGTGAAAAAGAAAATAAAATTGCACTATTAACCTTTTAAACATATAAATGAAAATAATTTTAGTTCAATGTGGTCATATATACAATATATCATGATCACATAATATACACATTACAATATCAGTTGATACTTATGGCACACTTACTATATATACCAGGCACTCCTATAAGCATTTTATGTATGTACTACCTCATTAAATCCTCAGAACAACCCTATGAGGTAAATTCTGTTATCAGCAGATTTTAGCTAAGGCAACAGGAGTGCACAGTGGTTTGCATGTATAGAACAGCAGGAGTGGGATCCTGGGTTCTAGAATCTGCAGTTCCCTTTGTCCTGCAGTGCTGGCGATCAAACGCAGCTCTTACACATGATAGGCAAATACTCTACCAAGGAGTCACACCTCCAGCTTCAGAATCTGTTGTCTTAACTACACTGTCTATCCTTACCACATTACAGATGAGAAACACCTAAGATGGGGTTCTAGAGTTATGTAGGAAATAAACAGCTATAGTAAATCTCAAAAGAATTTCTCTCTGAAGAAGCAAGTATCATAAACAGGTTGACTAGCAGCCTGCCCCAGCCCCTCAGTAACTTACTGAATTCAGCATGCTGCGGAGCATTCCCAGCAATAAAAAAGCAGCTTCTGTACACACATTGTGGATAGAAGAGACCACGGTTCCACTAGAGGCAGGAACTCCAAAGATAAATGTCCAGATGGAATCCAAATCAAACTGCAAAATTCAGATGTTTAAAGATCAGTCACTAATCTTTCTTATTTCAAGAGATATTTAGAAATTCTAATATTATATAATTTCTTTGAAACTATTTTTTAAGTTAGTAAACAGAGTATCACCAATTCTCCATTCTACATGTCAAAATTCAGGTAGTTACAGCAGTGTGCACTCTCCTATAACCTGTCTTAGCGAGTTCCTATGCTTACAATGTTGCTTTCTACCTATTTTCTCAACGAAGAAAAAAAAAGAAAACCACATGCTAATTAGTCAAAAGATAAAATTACAAATGTGATGACTTTAAGCAAGCTCTTTCAAAAGGCATGATGAACGTACTTTTCCCCATTCTTAGCAATGTTTTGATCCAAATTTATATTACTTACAAGTAAGATATAACACAATAAAAATGAATATTTATTGAGAGCAATATTTTCTTTTGCTTTTATTTTTTTGAGACGGTCTGCCTATAGCCCCAGCCTTCCAGGAACTTGCTATGTTGACCAAACTGGCTCCCGTCTTACAGAGATCCACCTGCTTCTGCCTCTGGAGTGCTAGAATTAAAGGAGTGCTGCCACCAAGCCTGGCTATTGAGAACAGTTGTTTGGACAACTACTAGGGTGATTTGAATGTCATTTGGCATTAGATGGAAGCAAAGCTGAATTTAAAAGATAAATTCCTAAGTCTTTATGAAATACAAATATAAGCTATAGAGAGACAATTATAATAGTCTTCAATTATAGGTCAAATACCATGTTAGTTACTGCTTTCCTGAAAATGTAGATGCTATCATTAAGAAATTGAAAATATATAGGCTGGAGAGAAGGCTCAGCAGTTGAGAGCACTGACTGCTCTTGCAGAAGACTCAGGTTCGATTCCCAGCACCCACATGGCAGCTAGAAACCGTCTATAACTCCAGTTCCAGGGGATCTGACACCCTCTTCTGACCTCTGTGGGCACTGTATTACACGAGTGCACCTACATACATGCAGGCAATACACTCACACACATAAAATAAAAATAATATTTTAAAAAAAGAAATTGAAAATATTT